CACAGCGCCTCCATACTGAGACCAGTCGAAAGCTTGAAGCCGACAACAAAGTCGCGCTCGAGATAGTCCAAGATGGTAGCAAGCATCTTGCGATCATCAGCCTCTTGCAGAACGGAAAGGGCCTTCCTCAGGAGGTTAGAGCCCTGCGTCAAGTGCGCCTGGAAACGGGCCTCCTCGAACTTGGCATTAGGCACGATGAGCGCCTCGAAGGTGCGCGTCCAGAAGAGCATCAGACGCCTCAGGATGGCGCGACGCTCCTTCCAGGCTCTGAACTCGTTGATGGTCTCGCTCATGTAGGCCTTGAACAGCTTGAGCACAGAGGCCAAGAAGCGGGCGGCGTTGACAGTGGAGTCGCGAGAAAGCGAGGCGACCTTGTCGGCGATCCAGGAGCGCTGGAGGCGGTTAAGCTGGGATGGCTTGCTGACATTGACTTTGCTGAGCTGAGCTTCCATGGCGGACTGGGCGGATTGGATGTCGAGGTAGAGCTCGTAGCAGCCGGCAATCCAGGTAGCTAGACCCTCGCGATCCTGCTCGAGGATAGGGATCATGGGCGAGTTGAGCAGAGGATGGAGAGGCATGAGCATCTTGTTGGGGGCAGAGCCGTACAGAGAGGCAATAGCCTGTCTCAACGCACCGGCATCTTCAGCACTGATGTAAGACAAAAGTTGAGCGAGACGTTTGCTAGCAGCGGAAGACTTGATGATCAGGCCGTTGGTAGAAGCTTGCATGAAGGCCTCGAGGAGTCTGGTATCACCAAGAGAGAGGACATCGAATGCCAGAGGAGCAAGGACATCCGCATTCTCAGCGCCGTTCAGGATTCTCGTGGCAGTGTGGAAGCGTTGCAAACTGCCATCAACAGGCGCAATAGTCTGATGACCGGCCTTCTTTGCCTCCCAAGGCGCACCTTCGAGATAGATCTCGACGGAACGGTTCCTCATGGCACGCGAAAGCTCGCCGTAACGAGGGTCAACAGTAAGGAAGATTCTGAAGTCAGGATGGGGTGTCAAGATGCGCGGCTCGCCACCGGGACCGCTGTGCTCGTTGATGCTCAGCGAGCCATTGGGACGCTCGAGAAGGGAGTTGAGTCTATCAAGCACGGAGGCACTGCACAGGTTGGCGTTATCTAGCACCAACCAAGCACCAGTCTCGACAGCCCGGACAATGACACCATCAAGCCACTCGAAGCGAGGGTTTTCCAGAGTCAGAGGCTTACGAAGCAGCTCAGCAGTCTCGGAAAGAAGAGGAGCGAGTTCACCGGCCTCAGGGAGGAGGTTCTCAATCATACGGAGGATATCAGGATACTGGTGCTCGCCAGAAAGGGCCATGAGCGCACCCATGAGATCAACCGCAGCAACCGGGACTGGCTCAGGAAGAGCCTGGAGGATCTGGTCCTGGAGCGCCTGCTTCATCTTAGTAAGGTTGGCCTGGACCTCTCTATGAGGATCAGCCTGCTCGAAGCCACCAATTAGATCCATGGTATCGACATCAGCGTTGAGCGGGAAGATGACGAGGGACCGGCCAGCCATAGCAGCCACATGATTAAGCAGGGCTGACTTGCCGCTGCCGGAAGGCCCAACAAGGATACAAGGCAGGTCTTGCTCGACGGCGATCAAGATACTCTCAATCTCCTTTAGCCTGTGAATGGGGTCGATAGAGGGGAATGGCGTTGGCTGCGACAGCTGGTTGCGCTGTAGGGTAGCAAGTCCAACCTGAGAGACGGAGGAGTTGATGTCGTGGTAGAGGCTGTGAGTCTCAGGCACACGCTGGAAGATCTCAGTAAACAACCTGTCGACTTCAACACGGTCCCGCTCGGTCCTGAAGCGCTGGCGAATGATCACATCAAGGAAATCATCCGGCTTCCTGCCGCTGAGAAGAGCATTGTCGGATGTGAGCAGGTCACCCCACCGAAGAGTATCACGCAAGTTGAACTCCCACGGCGAGCCCTGAGCACCGAACAAACGGGCAGTGACGACGGCATCGTCAAGCCTGGACATAAACTCGATGAGCTTCGTCTGCGTCTCGCCGCCAATCTTGTCGAACTTCTTGGCCGTAATATAGAGCAGGTCCTGCTTGGTGAAGACATCGGAGTACACAACGATGAAACGGTTGACAAACGAGCTGGGAAGACCCTTACGGCCACCACCTTGAGAGTGCGGGTTCTGGGCAGCAAAGAGCTTGAAGTCGGGATGACGCTTGAAAACCTGATCAAGTTCGGAGATGTAGACCTCACCACGATGATCAAGACAGGCGTTGAGACCCTCGAGAACGGTCTGAGAAGCCAAGTTCATCTCATCGAGCAAGACCCATGAACCGTTTTGCATGGCCTCCAGGAAGGGAGCGTTCTTCCAGCAGAAGTTACCGGCTTCAGCACCCTCGACGGGAACATCGGTACCGAACAGGTCCATGAGATCAGTCTGGTCGGACAGGTTGATTCTGGTCAAGGGTCTGCCGCAAGCACGAGCCAAGGCGGTGACAAGCGTAGTCTTACCCACACCGGGATTACCTTCGAGGAGGATGGGTTTGGTGCCTTGAAGAGCCCTAATGACACGCATAGCGTTCATCTTGGTGGTAGGAACACCAAACTCCCTTCCAGAGTCAGGGTCCGCGCTAGATAACCTCTCGATGCTGAAGTCACCAATGGTAAGGGCTTGCTCGTCCATCTTGAGCTGCGGCTCCTGGAAATAGTGATGAGCAAGATCGGAACCGCACAGTTCGCTGAGCTTTTCGAGGCACTCCTGTCTCTGCATATCCATTGTCCTGGGATCAACGGCGATCAACGCGGAGGGGTTGGCACCAATGGTATCAATGAAGACCATGGCAGCACCGTGAAGGAGAGCAAGCTCGACAGAGGGGAAGTTACAGATGTTCATGAACTGGACCCAAGCCAAGATATCACGGACTGAAAGGGCAGTTGTGGACGAAGACCTGAAAGTCTTGCCAAACCAGGACGAAAAGTTGACAATGATACGAGAAATCGGCGTCTTGACCCCCTTCAGGTTCTTCTTGTACTTGGCATCCAGCTTGGAGACGACAATGTCATGGACATCCTCCTCATCAGTGAAAGCAGGCACCCAGATCTCAGTGAAACGGTTACGCAGGGCAGGCGACAGTTCCCTCTTGCCAAAGTCACCACCAGGGTTCATGGTAGCGAAGAACTGGAAGCCTTGAGCACCAACGACGAAGGAGTCGGTGATACCCTTCTCCGCAAGCAAAAGAGTGCGAGCAGGCTCAAGGACGGAGTTTAGTCTTTCCAGGACGGAGTCATCAGCCAGAGAGATTTCGTCGAGAAGGAAGTAAGTACCCTCCCTCATGGCGTGGACAAGGCTACCGTCGCTCCACTCAAAGAGCGCCTTACTTCGGGCAGCATCGGACTGAATCTTGACCTTCAACTCCTCGGGAAGCTTAGCCAGGTCGTCGGCAGTAAGAGACTGATACCATGCCTGCATCTGGTCGATATCGCCCGTCTCCTGGCCAAGGATAGTAGCAGCCTGCTCCAAGCTCCTCAGCAAGCCGTCAAGAATAGCACCCCTATTTCTGACAGGTCTCTGAGAACCAATGAGATCACCAGTTTCGGTATTCTGATGAGCGTTGACAATATGCAATTCCTTCTTGTCAAATTCCGCAAGAAGCTGAACGACAGTTGTTTTGCCGCAACCAGTCTCACCAACCAACAGGACTGGCTCGTTGTTGACAATGGCGCGCTTAACCAAGACGTACAGACGGCGCATGGCTCTAGTCCAGATCACACCCTGGCTGTTGTTCTTGTTACCACCAGTACCGCGGAACTCGGGCGCTGTGTCGCGATCATAGAGCTGATCGGGGTCGATCTTGACTTTGAACACCTCCTCGATGACCTTCTTGACCTCATCACGCTCCTCGGGCTTACGGACACGCTCGGCAAGGAGCATGAAGCCGTGGTCGGCAATGTCTTGACGGGTTTCAGCCGCTCTCAGTGCCCATCGGAAGAGATCTCTAAGCGTGGCGAACGAGTTCTTTTGCTCGAACACGCGGCTCTCCTGGCGGAGACGGGTGAGTTGCTTATAGACTTGGACGATGCGGCGGCAGTCGGAGGGAGCAGTGTTGCGGCTGCGCTTCTGAAGAATAGTCTCCAACTCGCTCTCGGGGATGTCATCGTAATGAAGCTCGAGGAAACGGTTGCGGAAGGCACGAGAAAGCACCTTTCTACCACCATATAGACCGGGAGGGTTCTGGGTAGCGAAGAGGCAGAAGTTCTCCGCTGGCCTGACGATCTCTTGGGTCTCGGGAATGAGAAGCTCACGGTTGTCATCAAGCAGACGGTTGAGAGCCTCCAAGACGTCGGTGGGCGCCAAGTTCAATTCGTCGAGAACAATCCACGATCCTTCCCTCATGGCCTGAACCAAAATACCTTCCTGGAACTTGAGCTTTCCGTTGGAATCCGAGACGTAGGTGCCAAGGTACTCTTGCAAGTCGGTATGCTCGTGGTTGTTGATTCTCACAAACTTGTTACCGGTATAGTTGGCGAGATACTCGATCATACTGGTTTTACCCGCAGAAGTAGGACCCTGGATGAGGATGGGGTATCTACGAGTAGACGTAGCTCTGACCAAGTTCAATAGGTTTCTTTCGACATAAGGAGTGATGACATAGTCTGGGCGCTCAATTGGCGTTTCATTGCCCTGAAGCAGCCAGTATTGGTGATCTTTGTTTGTGTTTTTGAAGTTGACGTAGTTTTTGCCATCAATGGGTCTCTTGGGAGGATTAGTCAGGATGGAAGCCCTCTTCAGCAGATGTTGCTGGATAAGGGGCATAACTGTCCTCTCTGATTCTTCGCTTAGCAAGGTTGTGAAGCCCATGCAGAAACCTTCATAAACAGCTCTTTCGAGGCCGTAAAAAGGAGCCACATCGTTGGTGTACGTCAAAACACGGGTCAAAGTACGCAAACTGAAATGCGGCACTTCGTTGGCCTGGTCAACCAGTAGTTTTGCTTCAGCACGCTTCTTGATTTCAAGGTAGAGATCAGCAATGTCGTCGGACAAACGGTCAATGCTGCTGTTGTTTCCCTTGAGGTACGTTTTGATGATTGTGAGGAGGTCCTTCTTGTCGCGATCAGGACTTTGGACATAAATCTCAGTGAAGCGCTATTGTCTTGATTAGCAGCTGTCCTTTTAAGCTATGAAGAACGGATCAACTCACGGATCTCAGCCCCATGGGAAGATCTCTCTTGCCCACATCTGTGGCAGGGTTCATGGCACCAAACACGCGGAAATTTGGATGCGCCTGGATTCTCTCAATCTCTCCCGTTTCCGAGAGCAAAAGAGAGGGATTGGTCTGGAACAAGCCAGCAATGCTTTCCAAGGTATCAGGAGAGGCCAAGTTGATTTCATCAAGCAGGACCCAGTCACCGTTTCTCGCCGCCTTGACAATCTTGCCCTCGACGAAAGCAAAGGCAAAGCCGCCAGGACCAGCCGCGACCTGTCTATCAAACTGATCAAGACTCTGCGAAAACAAGTCCCAACGAGCCTTGAGATCCCGCAGGCGCTGGAGCTTGCTGGACTCGGTCTTCCGACGCTTGGCTGGGCCCTGCTCCTGGTTCTCCTCTGCAACCTCTGCCTCTACGGTCTTGGCTGCTTGCATGCTCTCGAACTTGGCGAGGATCTGCTCGAACATCTTGGGAGCCTTGCGCCACTCCTTGGAGACCTCTCTCCACCTGCCCTTGGCGAACTTTTTGTTGATCCCGTCCAGATAAGCCTTGTTCTTTTCAGCAGAGACGCCTGTTCTCTCGAATAGATCCTCAAACTCCTCCTTGATAGGCATGGCGAGGGTCTGTGCGCTGACGGGCTTGAAGCCACCCAGAAGGTCACCGGCTTCACTTTGCTGAGACAAGTTGACGGCGACAAGTTGGTGACCAAGTGATTCCGCCAGCTGCTGAACCACGGTAGTCTTACCGATACCCGTCTCACCGACCAACAGGAGCGGCTCCTTGTGCCTTACAGCAACCGCAATCTGCTCCAGCAACCGCTTAGCATGAGTGGTGGTGGCGAAAGGCCTCTTGTTCTTGGCTCCACGGCTGGTTTTCCTCCCCTTTGCAAACGAGACGCGGCCGACGGTGAGTCTTGACTCGTTATCCTCCAAGTCGGGGACGTAGCTCGTCAAGTAGTGCTCAACCCTCTCGGGAGAAAGATGCATCTCCTTCGCAACGACACCTATTAGAATATTACGCGCTTGAATCTCCTTGACTCCACCAACGAAAACATCGGCCGCTTCGAGGAACATGCGGTCCCTGGTAGTATCGGTAATGGGCTCCTCACCAGTCTTGCAGCCGGAAGCACGGAGGATCTCATCTAGGCGCCCGCACCACTTGAGGAGATCTCTTGTGCCGAGTGGCCGCTCGAAGACCATGCGACCGAGCGACAGACGGGTCGAACCGCTGGTGGCCGCCAGCAACGCATCGAAGACCGCCAACACTCCTGGAACGTATTTGTGAAGCAAGGGATATCTGCTGTTGATGACATCCTTCAAGTCCTGTTGGGGAAGGGCCTTGACGTGCGTAAGCTGCCAAAGACGCAGACCAATCAAGCTGGGTAGGTTCTCCTTGTCGTTCATGCCGAGCAGCGTCCGGACAGTAGCAAATATGCGGAAGCCTTCGGTGGCTTGTATGGTCTCGCCGCGTCCAGGAATGAGCAGCTCTCCTCGCTCAATGAGAGGCAGCAATGTGCTCATGACTTCTGTTGGCGCGCGATCGAGATCCTCAATCAAGACCCATCTTCCCTCCTTGACGGCAGTGGTCAACACACCTGGGCGCCACGAGAAGGAACCGGGCTTCGAATCGGTGGTATATAGTCCAAGCAGCATCTTGGCGTCGGTTTGCTCGTTCAGGTGTAGTGTCACTAGTTGCTTCTGCTTGCCTAACTCGCGCGCAATCTCGTGGACTAGGGAGGTCTTGCCGGAACCGGACAGGCCGTGGAGGAGGATGGGCCCGGGTCGTTGCAGACACCCGGTGAGATTCTCGAGGTTCTCAACAGTCGTCGGGGTAAGTGCGAGGGTGGTGGGAGCAGTCACAGGGCCGAGGGGACGCGGGAGGACTGTCTTTCCATATTTGACAACTAGAGGAGTGAGGTTCTGTTCTGGGATGACTGTGATATTCAATTCGACAGTCGCATCGTCAACCGCACTAGTTTGTTGGTATTTACTGCGAAAACTCTGGATGTCTTCACGTCTAGAATCCTCGTGTAGACTGAGGAACGCATAGTCGGCTTCGCGCCCGTCGAGCTCTGCGACAAGGCTGGTATCTGTGGGTATGTGCTTTTCGAGGAGGGCTTCGATCTTGACATCGGCGGCATTATGAAGCTGGCAGAAGATTCGGACGGCAAGATATCGGACGATGGGGTTCTCGTGTGCGAACAGGGTCTGTATTTGGGATGGCTTTGACAGGCCGGCGTAGGTGCGCTTGTCAAAGTTGTTGAGCCTCCAGAGGGCTAGGAGGACAATTGGGAGGTCATCTGGGCGGATCGAAGCTAGGTCAAGGGAATCGAGAGGTTTGAGTTCTGAAGAAGTATCATTGTCGTTGTCGTTGTTGTTGTGATTACCACCATTAACACCACCAAAAGATCCTCCTCGAAGATGCGACACGAGGAAGACAGACAGCGACGGGGCGAAGGGCAATATCCTTGCGAAAGCGGCAAGGACTCGCGTATCGAGTTTTGCAGAAGACAGAATCCATCGGGCGCAAATATCGGCAGAAACAGACTCGAAATGGGTAAAGATGCGGTCGGTGGCTGTCGAGACAAGAGCGGCGCTGGCAATGGCATCGAGGAATTTGGTCGATTGGTGATCCTGGATCATGAGCAGCAACTCTGGCGGCAAGAGGTCCAAGGTGGTCGCATCGCTAAGGAGCGACGCCCTCTGCTGGCTCACATCGATCACGGCCATATTGGCCAGGGAAAAGCGACGGGACGGGTTGGCGTGAATGTCGTCGTCGTCGTCGTTGTGAAAAACGGTGATGTTTTTCTTAGTCTCTTTTTTTTTTTTTTTTTTTTCTCCAACTTTTTTGCCCATTGAACTTCGCTTCCTCCCGTTTGGAACTTTTTCCCACATGATATTCCTTATCGCACTGAACGATAGTGGGGTACATGCTACTTAGCGCTAGGCGCATGTGCTGGGGTGTACTCTAGAGGTACACTAGTGTAGTGTAAGTCGGCTGCGGCAGGCAAGGGAGCCGTCTTCTTTAAAAGTGGAACCTAGTCCGGGTGGGACGAACAGCCCAGCGGCAGAGGCGCGCTTGGGATGACAGGGGCCCATCCTTTAGCGCGTCTTCAGTGGGCTTCCAGGTACAGAGGTACCTAATCCCCAGACTCGCGCGGGGCAGGCAGCTTGGGTTTTCCCCTCCAGCTGCAGCTTGGGTCAGCCAGCCGTCATAGATCCAACTTGCACACCCAAACCACCAAGTTGCCAACTGCCAGCAGTGGGTCCCAGATTTCGCAGCACCCGGGAGCGCGCGACAACGTCCCCAAAAAAATATCTCCGTTTAGTTGTTGTACGGTTCGGTTGTACGATCCTCGAAGTCGACGTCGACGGCAAGCCTCCCTCCCCAAAAAGAGAACCCCAATCCGACCGCCCCCGCGCGCCCTCTCTCTTTCCTTCCTCCGGTCCGAGTCCGACTCCCCTCTCTCCATCCATCCACACAACCCACCACCAACACACACACACCCCAACAATGTCTCTCTCGGTTCGCTTCGCCGCGCAATGCGCCGCCCGCCAGCTCCGCGCATCCACCCGGGCTTCGAGCTCCCTCCTCGTCCAGAAGCGCTTCGAGTCCACCGCCGCCCCTGCCGCCAACCCCAAGATTTCCGCCATTGTTGACCAGATCAGCACCCTGACTCTCCTCGAGACCTCGGAGCTTGTTTCCAGCCTCAAGGTACGCCCGATTTAAATAAAGCACGAGAAGAAGAACCCGGAGCCGGGAACCGGGACACACAACCCGATCGGAGCATGTTTCAAGGTTCCGGATGTTTTGCGCCCCGACCCGACCCGGCCCGGCCCCGGACGGATAGACAGACCTATCTTATACTACCTAGACTCAAGTCGCACATGTACATGGGCACTAACACTAACACACTCACTCCCTCTCTTCTTTACACAAAACAGTCCCGCCTCAACATCCCCGATCTCCCCGTCGGTGGTTTCGCCGCTGCCGCCCCCGCCGCTGCCCCCGCCGCCGCTCCCGCTGAGGAGGAGGAGGCCGCCCCTGCCGCTGCCGAGAAGACCCTGTTCACGCTCAAGCTCGAGAAGTTCGACGCCGCCGCCAAGCCCAAGGTCATCAAGGAGGTCAAGAACCTGCTCGGCCTCTCCCTAGTAGAGTCCAAGAAGTTCGTCGAGAGCGCGCCCAAGGTCATGAAGGAGTCGGTACCAAAGGAGGATGCCGAGAAGATTGTCGCCGCCATGAAGGAGCTCGGCGCCACTGTCACCATGGATTGAACTGCTTCTGCCTAGTAAAAGGGTGGTTGCTATGGTTATTGTCTCTGTGTGGTGGTGTGGTGGGTGGAGGCGCCCGTGTGTGTGTGTTGTCGTTGTTTTGTAGGATGGTCACGTCCCTCCCCCGCAGAAAAAGAACCAAACGAGGAGATCTTTTCCAGACACCACAGATGCCGGAAAGATATTTTCTTTTTTTTTTTTTCCTCTAATGATGATCATGACGGACAGAGTTGGAAGAAATTCCAGGGCCTTGGGAAACACATAGAGGGGGATTCTCGGTGTCTCATCTACATTATATCCTCATGGGGGAAGGGGGGAGTGGCGGACACAGATTCCTCACAACAACATATACCACTTGTACGTGTACAAAAAGCAATGAAACATGTAACATTATATCATACTACGAGAACTGGGATGGATACAAGAACGGGTTGCCAGCGAAAACAAGAGAGTCTCTGCCGACGATATTACCGTGAACAGACGGATGCCGCTTCTAAGCTAGTAGTATCTCCCCACTTTCGCTTTTTGGAAGCCATATAGAGTTGAACAGCCAAAACATAAACGCCGTCCAATGCATACCTCATGTGATCTGTATCACAAAACTTCCCCCTTCCTTGTTTTCTTATTCTCAACCTTCTTTCACTCCAGCATTCTCAACCTCCTTCTCTTTGCCTCCTTCAATTTTCTTCTTTCTATCGCATTCCTACCAGCGCGCCTCTTGTATCCAAATCCACCCGTGTCATTCCTGGTGGTCTTTCTAAATTCCCAGCTTCTCTTCTCGGTTCCCTAACCCGAAGTCATCTCCACATCTTTATCTTGCTTCTCCTGTTGCTCCTTTTCCAGCAGCTGCAGCTGCTTCCTCCTCGCCATCTCGGCAATCTCCCCACCAATCGACATTGGCTTTTCCTTCATGTTATCCCCATTCATACCATCATCCCTCTCACCCCCGTTTTTCACCTCCTCCTCTTCTTTATTTCCATTCCTCCCTCCCTCCGCCTTCCCTGATACCCCATTAGCACCGGCGGCGGCGACACCATTCTTCCCACCCCCGCCCCCGTTACTGGTAGTAGTATGCCCGCACCCCGCACCACCACCACCACCACCACTCCCTCCAATCCCCGCCTGCAAACTCCTCTCCCACTCCTCCTGCTCCTCCCATATCGTTCTCATGTCGTCATCCCCCAACTCTGACGTCTCCTCAAGCAATCTATCCATCTCCTCTCCGCTCGGCACCGCCCAGATATTCTCCCTCAGCCGCTTATGCCGCTCACGATCCTCCTCGATACGTTGTTCGACTTGTTTCTTGTCGAGACGAGGGGCGGCCATGTTGACGCCTCCGCCGCGTTTACTCAGATTGCTATGCTGGTTGCTAGAGGGAGGTCCGCCGGCGGCGGCAGTGGAAGGGAGGGTACCTGCTGCTGTGGAGGAAGGAGGAAAAGGAGGAGGGTAGGAAGAGTGGATGGCGGTTTGCGAGGGGGGCATGTTGGTATCGTACCCCGCTGCTGTTGAGAGGTTGTTGTTGTTGTTGTTGTTGGCAGAAGGAGAGAGGACGAGGTCGCCCTGGGAGGAAACGTAGGATTCGCCGCGTTCGCGGAGAACTTCAAAGATGTCGGTTAGGATGGTGGCGTCGAGGAAGGTTTTGGCGTGGAGGGCTTGGAGGACCTATTGTAGATTTGTGTGTTTTTTAGCATTGGCTGGGGATAGGGGGGGGGGGGGGGGGGGGGGGGATGAAGACGGGTGAGAAAGGCAAAAACACAAACCTTGCGGACAACCTTGACGTTAGCCGCCCCTGACCCGTCATCCGGCGCCACGGCATCGACCACACGAATAATGTCCCGCTGCATCATGCGGATGTAATCCTCTTGTCCGTCTTTGGAGGCCATGTCGAGAAAGTGCTCGATGAAGTACATGATGTTGGCTCGCATGTTAAGATTGCTCTGGCCACCTTGTTAGTGAATGTCTTGAGTGAGCCAACGAGCCGTGGGGAAGAGGGAGGGATGAGCCGATGAGGGTGAGGTTGGATGGTTTGACACCAGCGCAATTCGACTTTCCCGATATGATTGATTGACTGGACAAACATGAAGATAAAGGATAAACACACCCTCTCAAGCTGCTCCAGAATGCAAGAGTGCAAATCTTCAGCTAGATCCTTGTGTCGGAGAGCATACTGTGCTGCCTTTTGCGAGGATGTCACGGAGGCACTTAGTTGGCGGAGCTGGTTTGTGAAGCGCATGCGCACCTCGAAAGGGTCGGCCATTTTTGCTTCTTTGGTGATGAAAGTTGTTTTGCGTCTAGATGCTGGTAGTTGTTGAAGATGTATCAATTGTGTAAGTGATGCAGTCGGGATGGGGGGAAGGGGGGTCCTGGTGTGACTGAAACTGCTATGGGTTGTTGTTCGGGTGTAAGTGAATGGATGTAGTTGAGTTACCCCAATTGTTCACCTTTTGCCCGATGTTTATATACTTTTATTATCTGCTGCCTTGCTTAAATGCGCTTGCATAACCGGCTCATCTGCACCTGCTTTTAATCTTGACGAAATTGTACAGTTCTGCAACTGACGTTGACTTTGACTTGAAATATCAAGTGGAATACGGCATTCATGAATATGACAGACACGAAAGCATTTCAAGGTTGTCGTCGCCAACAACACAAGAAACAGTCAAAAAGAAGAAAGGACGTTGAACTTGGGTAACCACACTAACCCGCATATAGCAGGCGGTGAGTATGTTAACGAGGCGCTAGTCATCTTAGTACTGTGTGGTAGCGATACCGGGGTCCTAGTGGGGTTTGTTTACAGCGGAGTTACAGCGGGCAAATTCTCCACTGACCGATAAAGTGATATCACAACTCAGGATCGATGAATAAGTTCCCGTTTTGGGCCTCATCGAGATCGTCTTCACAACTTCACTGATCGACCTCTTTTTCTTATCTCCCCGACAGGAACCAACTCGTTTATTTATTCTCTTCCACTTTTGGAAGATCAGAATAAATAACAACTGTCGTACCTTTACACTCTCAACTCAGTCGCTCAAAATTCCCACCCACAACACACAACAACAACAACAAGAATGGCTGCTCCTCAAGTAAAGAGCTCCTCCGAGCTCACCATGGCCGTTCTCGGCTGCGGTAAGTGATCATTCCCACATCTCACTCACCTCACACGCCCGCCACAACCCTTTCCTAGCTCACCCAAAGAATGTCAAACATGGTACTAACCCTACTCTCCCAGGAACGATGGGCATCTCCATCCTCTCCGGCATCCTCTCCTCCCTTTCCTCCATCGCCCAAGACCCCTCTCCACCACCCACCAACCCGCCCGCCCTCCCGCGCCACTTCATCGCCACCGTGCGCTCCCAATCCTCCGTCGCCAAAGTCGAGTCCGCCCTCTCCCCGCTCGTCAAGCCCTCCGTTTCTACTCTGCGCGTCCTCCAATCCACCTCCAACGTCTCCGCCGTCGCCGAAGCCGACATCATCCTCCTCGGATGCAAGCCCTACATGGTCTCTGGCCTGCTTTCCGCATCCGGCATGAAGGATGCTCTGACAGTCAAGCACACCGAAGGCCACGCGCGGTCCCAAAAGATCATCATCTCCATTTGCGCGGGCGTGACGGTTCCGGACCTGGAACGGGTCTTGCGCGAGGACGTCAGACTTTCCGCCGATGACCTGCCGATTGTGGTGCGCGCGATGCCCAACACGGCCAGCAAGATCAGGGAGAGCATGACGGTGATCAACACGGTTGATCCCCCGCTGCCGGATAGCACCACGGAGCTGTTGACGTGGATCTTTGAGAGGATCGGCGAGGTTGTTTACTTGCCTCCGAACTTGATGGACGCGTGCACCAGCTTGTGTGCTTCGGGCACGGCGTTCTTTGCGCTGATGATGGAGGCGGCGGCGGATGGAGGTGTGGCGATGGGGTTGCCTAGGGCGGAGGCGACGAGGATGGCGGCGCAGACCATGAGGGGCGCTGCTGGGTTGGTGCTGGAGGGAGAGCATCCGGCGATTTTGAGGGAGAAGGTGAGCACGCCGGGCGGGTGCACGATTGGCGGGTTGTTGGTGTTGGAGGAGGGTGGGGTTAGAGCAGCGGTTGCGAGGGCGGTTAGGGAGGCGACGGTTGTTGCGAGCTTGTTGGGAGGAGGGGGAGCGAAGAATGTCAATGGTACTAGGCATTAGAGCCCCAGAGAAAAGGGGAGGTGAGGATATAAGGTGAGGTCTGCCAGAAGGAAGGTCCTAGACGGTGTTGGTAAAAGCCTGCCTCTGGACGGAAAAGCTAGAAAGTCTCGAAACCAAAGTACCAAAGGTAGACAGACAGGTGGATAGTGAACAGCACGCGGAGGTTCATGTCATTTTTTATCTCCAAACCCCTCAGAAAGAATGGGTTGGGGTTCATAGATAGTTAGAGACCATAAAAAGGCGCCAGACGCCCCTTCAATATGTACAAATAAACAACAAATACAGTCATACCGGGAAAAACATATGCTCGCACCAACAATGCTATTTTCAACCTATGTGCAAGACATCCACCCCAAGCATAGGCTAGTATGCATTACAGATACCACCTCATATCATTCGGGGGAAAAATGCCATATTTTCGATGCTCAAACCCTTAGAGATGTCATTGACCGCCCATCCCTCCTGTACTTTGGGACTTTGTCATGGGTAGAGAGGTAGACTCTATGCATTTCCGCTCTCAACCTTGGCCTTTTTGCTCGACACAGCAGCTGTTTCCTCCGTCTGCTCAACCTCGTTCAACTTGCGCTTACCATTAGCAGCAGAAGGAGTAGCCGGCACTTGATCACTCGCAGTCTCACCATCAGCCTGAGCCAGCTTGCTCTGCTCCTCAGCCTTGATCAGCAACCGAGCATAATCAAACTCCACACCAGCAAAAACCTTGGCCAGCTCCTCCCTGCGCTCCTTAAGCTCCAGCTGGCCCAGCGCGTCCCTGTTGTGCACGTATAGCCTCCGCTTGACGAGCATCATCCATAACCTATACGTATGCTCGTCTTCGGGGGTGGGCTTTGGCAGGGCCTTCTCTTTGCCCTTACTCTTGCTTCTACCGCTCTGCTCCTCGTAGTCCTCATCCTCGGGAGCGCCCAGACCTGGCCGGACGCTCTCGGGAAGCTGGGACATCAGGTACATTTCGAGCACGCGGGCAAACTGCCGGGGCACGATCTTGAACTTCTTTCGGCAGGCTTCCCAGGCTGCTTGGTCGACGATATTGTTGGGTGCTTTGCCCTCCTCGGGAATCTCGACGCTGGTGTCGATCTTGAGCGCTCGGAACTCGGGTTGTTTGCTGAGGAATGCGAGGTCGGCGAGATCGCGCATGTCATCGAAGGCCTCGTTGGGGTCTTCCACCGTCAACTCGATGGTGGGCTCGTGCTTAAGGTATTGCTGGTAAATAATGCTGTAGAGGCGCGAGCCGAGGCCCTTTTGCTGAAAGGGCGGAATGATGATGAACTGGGAGATGCGGGTGCGGCAGGGGAGAGTATCGAGGTCGAAGTCGCCGTCGACAGAGAAGGTCGGGGTGTCGGTCGGGGTCTTGGATTCGGACTCTGCGGGGGGTTGGAAGGCATAGTACCGGTAGAGGGTACTGTAGCCGGCGAAATGGTAGGAGAATTTGTCGGGCTGGTTGGGAAGAGGACGCTTGTTGTAGAGGAAATAGATTGTCCATCGGTCGACTTCGGGGTCTTCCATGTCGATAGGGGTGCCTCCGTCGACAAAGAAGGGAACGAGAATCTGGATGCGGTTGAGGAGCTGCTTGACGGCAGGGTCTGTGATCTTGCCGCTGTAAACTTGGTATTCCCCATCTTTGTTGCTGAAGCTTGTGACGAGAGTTCCGGGCGGGGTCCAGTTGTCGGGAATGGACTTGAGCCGGGTTTCGAAGTCGGATTGCTTCTGGAAGGCAATTTCGGGGAGGAACTCGGACAGGACCTCGTTGATGTCGAGGGCCTCTTCGTCGGCTGTGGGCTGGTACTTTTTCTTGTAGGACACCTTGAGGTTGGGCAGCATGTCACTGGCGTTATACTGCAGATTAATGCGAAGACCCTTGTAGCCAAAGATTTGTTCTTTCTCGCCGAAGATGTTGTTTGTGTATTCCGGGTGGAAAGTGTCCAGTGTTTTCACGCCAGTGTCGGAGGGGGTGACAAGCGAGACCAGGAGGGCCTCGTTGGAAGACGTCCACCCTGTTATGCCAAGTCAGCCTGCATGTCCGGTTCCAGCGCTGGGAATTGTTTGGGGCTGTTGGAGCTTACAATCGTCGTCTCCGCTCATGGTGATGGATCTGGAGTTTGCGAAGCTGGGGATCTGGCGGGGAAGCTGCGCGGGGGAGGGGGAGGGGGGGTGTTATGAACACACAAAGCTTCGTGGTCGCGTGCTTGGGATATGTGGTAATTCTGTCGTGATATATTTGACTGATGTAAAGCTGGTGTCGGGTGGAAGGTTCCGTTACGCCGGGTGATTGTGTTGGCTCGTTGTCTGGTCAAAGAGGAAGATGATCTGATCAAGAAGTCAAAGTCGCAACTGAAAGGAGAAAGAGTCGCGGTTGGCGAACGCGTATCGATCGTTAATTGAAAGCTTGGGCCATCACTCCACTGCCGATCTTCCTTCTCGGTTAAGGTTGTTAGCGTGGGCTAGGGGCCCCTGTTGTGGCCGGCTGCTAAACGCATAGTAACAGCTTGATAGCGGCCCAACCACCAGCAGATGCCCTGATTAATGGATGCTGTGCTCTTCCATGCAACGGCTTGAGGTGACTGTAAAACCAGACATGTCGACAGGATTGTTTCACACTTTGGTATCGAGATATGCCTGTGGGCCATGTTGTCAAGGGATTCCCGTCTTGACTGATGCTTCCAGAAACCTGCTTACCAAAACGGCTCTCATAGATAGGTAGCTCCCGGTTCAAGTGGAAGCTCATGGCGGCTCAACCTAGCAAAGACCCCTCCTCAACTGAATCTAGTTGACTTGGCAGGCCCCCATTGTTAGGGCGTTTGTCAGGGCGTTTGGCGTTGCTTGGCTGAGGTGACCGCGGCGAATTGCTGCAGAGAGGTCTTGGCTGACGGGAGGTAGGTCCGGGTGTTTCCCCCCAGTGTTACTCCAATGGAAATATTTCTTTGAACAACATCAACCCCTTCCCTTCCTTGGTTGTCGATTGACCTCCCTCCCTCCCTCTTGGACCAGCTCAGTCTCTTTGTCCTGACCTCCTTCATCTTGCGGCGCGCCCTGAGGTCATCGTCATCTGGTTATTCTATATGCGCCAATGACTTTAACAACACACAACAGTTGTACATCTTAGTTCTTTCTCCTCACAAGCTCCAGTCTGGTTCCAGCTTCACAACCTCCAAGATGGGCAACTTGCTCATTCTCCTGGCCCTCTGTGTACGTCACTACAGTATACTCTACCTAATCCTAACAGAAACATAGCTGGAAGCTAACATGGTCCCATACACTGACATAGGTGGTCATGGCCTTGGCGTACGTCCATCCTCAATTGCCGTCTTTGCCGCTGGGCGCAAACTGACATCGAAGCACGGAATAGTTCCTTCTTCGCCGGCGCACTCCCCCTATCCCTGAGCCTATCGCAATCTCAACTACGATTGATATCCAGCATCGGTGTTGGAATTCTTGTCGGCACTTCCCTCATCGTCATCATCCCCGAAGGCATCGAAGCGGTCGCGACAACCAATACCGTCCAGTCGGCACATTCGCACAATGCTGCTGCTGCTGCGAGGCGCAGTCTCACGGGAGTTAGAGGGAGATCCCCAGTACAAACAGTCAACTGGCACATCTCAGGGAACCATCTGGAAGCTAGGGACGGCAATGGCGACGAGATCCCCCATATCAAGACACACAAGATCGTAACCGCCGAACAAATCCTCAAGAGCCTTCACGACAAAAGGGATGAAGAGCCAAAGGATGACACAAAATCCAGCTTCCAAAAGTCCACCAACCCCACCACCGAACAGCATGATGACGACGGTCATGACCACCACGAGAACTCTCTTCCGACATTCCAGATCGGCCTGTCTCTGACCCTCGGCTTCGCCCTCATGTTCCTCATCGACCGCCTCCCGCAGCACGCCTTCTCCTCTTCTTCTTCTTCGAGCCCGCAGACTCGACACATCTCCCTCGACAACCTCGAGACCTCCTCCATCTCCGAGTCCATTCTCGAAGGCCGTGACGGATCCTCCGAAACCGACGGCTTCCTCTCTTCCTTCCTCAGCCCCTCGCCAAAACAGGCCCGCACGCTAGCAACGACGGTGGGATTGGTCATCCACGCCGCCGCCGACGGCATTGCCATGGGAGCCAGCGCCACCACGGAGGACATGCGTCTAGGATTGATCATCTTTGTGGCCATCATGGTGCACAAAGCCCCAGCAGCTTTTGGCTTGACGTCAGTTTTGCTGAGGCAGGGGCTGTCGAAGCGGGCGGCGAGGGGGCACTTGATTGTGTTTAGCGCCGCTGCCCCCGTAGGAGCGTTGGTGACGTATTGTATCGTCGAGTTGTTCCTGGGTGGAAGTGGTGGGCAGGTAGCTGCAGAAGGGAGCCGAGGTGAGCAGTGGTGGACGGGCATGTTGTTGTTGTTCTCCGCGGGGACGTTCTTGTGAGTCTGCCCTCCTCCTCCTTTGGAGTGTGCTATAGTGATTGATGGATGGTTGACTGACTGACGATATCCAGGTATGTGGCTATGCACGCCATGCAAGAAGATAGCAACTCCCACGACCATCACTCAAGCAGCAACGGGTACGCAGACGGAAGCAGTTCGCAGCAGAGGAGGCAGCCAAAGCCGCTGAGGGACACAATGTTTACTGTCTTGGGAATGCTATTACCGCTTCTCACGCAGTTTGGACATCATCATTGAGCATGATTTCATCAAACAAAAGTTAGGTGTCTTATAGTGTTATATTTTTTTTAGTTGGATATGGCAAAGGCATGCAAGCGTTTGCGTTCATGGCCAAGCCACCCCCTAGCGAATACACCTCATTTGACAAGCAACCCTGGGCGACTAGAGACTGTTATCTATGGCTGTGTATAACGGAAGCTTGGAGGTTTCCGTCCTTTGTGCTTGACAAAGTGTTACGATGCTTGGGGCTGGATATCTAACAAAGCAGAACCGTGAATCAAACAGTTTGGTAGTGGCAACTGTATGCTGACAATTCAGGGAAAGCCAGAGACGACGGCTCTGATAAAGGGGCAGGACTAGGCACCGCATTACACACTCTACCACTCATCCAACCAGGCTGCATTCGATGCAGGAGGTGTTGGAGTATTTTTTATATAAGAAGTATCCTACTTGTCATCAATCTATGAGAGGCTACAGCTGACTCTATTTCTAAAGCGTGTGATACCTACCATAATCTTCAAAGTGTCCATTGAAAGCGGAGAGGTACGTACGGCCATTGTTTCAAGGATGTCATAAGAAATAGAGGCCTTTGCTGACACAAAGACGAAGTAGATACCGGTATATTATACAACTTTGAGGATCACTACCATCGAAGACAGCTCTACCTTCGCCGACAACTACACTACCTTCGACGGTTTTCTTTCTCGAAGTCTTGTCCCTTGTTGACATCTATATACTATCGACGACCTTTTACATTTCAACATATTCACAATGACCCAACATGTGCTCCATCGAGCTTTCAAGAAGCATGTTCATCTTCCAGGCGCAACCAGATGCCTCAGATGCCTGGAAAACAGACCTGGTTCTCAGCGCAGAAGAAAAATGTGGCGTGTCCTCTGCGAAGATGGCCATTACTGTAGCGGTTGCTACACTCGTGAGATATCTGAATTGGGGACCTTAATGACCTCCCCATACCTTCTGCACGCATTTACACCTTAAAATTCCATTGTGGATCAATATATATTTCTCTCAGCGTAAGTTTCCCTTCATCTCCTTGCCCCCTGAGATCAGACGCTTGATCTACTGCGAAGTCATCACTCTCCAATCCCCGACATATTACCACCGTCGAATCTCTTGCCTCTTCTTCCCGCAAAATCCGCGCAAGAGGACTCCACGAGTACTTCACAGACAACTCCCCCCCCTCAACAACTTCTTCTCTCCCCCTACCGGTATATCCTAAGCACTGCCCTTCTCCCTATCAGGCATGAGTGAAGAACGGGCTTAAAGACAGCCTGGCTCCTGGCGATTTGTTGGAACACCTGCGGATCTTGTGAAGGTTGAGGCTAGCAGGTTCGACGACATGAGACGACATCGACAATTATTTCACACATAATCTTGCTAGCCACAGATTTGCCTGCCTAGTGATTTCCAAGGTGAAGGGGATTGGCACCTTTGTGGACCTTAGATCTTAAATTGGGTCTAAAGACAACCTTCACGCAGCCCTTCCCATGGATTTTCCATTCACCGGCACTCCGCTCTCGGTGTTATATAAGGCTGCCTTGGCTCCCATCTCCCCTTCTTCCGTTAAGCAACTTCAGTCAGCCTGAGTTTCCAACGTCGACTTTCTACCTCCGACATTTCCCCAGTATATCTTAATGAGTTAAGGCTTCCGTATCACATCTTCACAGCACTTTAACGATTATTACCTCTTAACAGATTCTCCTCTTCTTAGATCCACTTCTACCTTCGACAAGATTTGTTTTCACGACAGTTATTTTCGACTATATTCACATTCGGCAACCTTCACTCACAATAACCTCCACCCTTAACAACCCCTCTCTCTACCTTGAATAAGTACCACCGACATCTTCCCACCTTCCAGACGACCTTTACCCTCAACGACCGCCAACCTCGACAACTTCTCTCCCAACATTCGGTAAATTAGGTACCTTCGACATTTTTCACATTCAGCAACTCGTTTCCTCGACGACCCTATATGCCTTTCAATAACTTCTCACATTTCCCTACATCTACCATCATCCAGCATGTGTCTCACAGACGAGCGCAAGTTCCCCTTCTTCTCCCTCCCAGCAGAGGTGAGATGTATGGTTTACCGCGCAATCCTGACCATGACCAGCACCATCACCAGATCCACCAAAGAGCATCTTAAAAATGACAAGCAACCCACGCAAGCCTCCCAGCAGCTCGAACAAATAACGATTTTCAACAACCTTGCCTTGTCCTGCAAACAAATCCGCAACGAGCTATTCTACGAGCACGTCGCCTACGTCCTTCCTCTCACGCAGGTCCATCTAGGCAGCGCCTACCGCACCCCCACACCTTCAGCCCTAGCTTTAACCAACCATAAAATACTCCAACAGCTACAGTTCTCGGCTTTCCTCACGCAGCACATCTACCACGTGAGCCTACACTGGGGCGGATGTACCTGCTCCCGGGACGGATCTCGTTTTTAACTCTAAATCGATTTCAGGGCCTGCCTCCATTGGCTGACGACGCTACCACAGCTTAAGACCCTGGAGATCGTTTTCACTGATCCTTTCTATCTCCCTATTCAGCAACTCACGAGCGCGACCGCGAGCGGGTCAGTGCTGCCGGGTTCAGGTCCGGGTGTGGCCGAGGAGGAGGCCGAGGAGGGGGTCGAGGAGTGGAGTGACAGTGATAATAACAGTGACGAGGGTTACTATGAATTCGCGCACTTCTTTTGCAGTTTCTGCTGGGAAGATCTAATGACGCTGCCGCCGACTTTGAAGAAGGTGATCTTCCGGGTGTGGTGCCGTAAGGATCCGGATGATGAAATTCATCCTGCTGCCGTTTATGAGACCTGGGAAGTCACACAGTGGTATCATAGGAGGAGAGTCGAAGAGGAGCAGTATGAGAGGACTGGGATTTGGGAGAGAATGGAAGAGGAGTATAAGGATGGCGATGAGAGCAAGGTATGTTTCCTCCCTGTCACCATCCTAAACCCTTTAATGGGTTATGCCATTATTATTTTCCACGCTCGAGGTTGGATGAGAACTGACATTCCGATGCGTCATTATTTCAGGAAATGCAGGAGTATAAGATTGAGTACCATGTTGGTGCTATCGACGTTGAGTGGCCTTTTTCAGAAAGGATCTGAAGCACTACGTCTTCGGCAGTAGAGGGAGAGGGGGTTTCTTACTGCTGCTTTATTTCCTTTGATTTCGAGTCCTTTTCGTAAACCTACTTCAACTTCAAAATTCTTCTCACCTGAATTTGGTTTCCTGTCACGTTATGCCTCTGAAAAGGATATATATGACCGAATCAATTCCGCATCAGTTTCACAAAGTCCGGCCGTACCCCTATCGACAAGGACACGGGCACTATATAGCATGTTTGGGCTGAAGTCAGGAAGAAATTGCTTCATCGATGAGCATAGACTCTCAAGCCTCTACCGAATATCTGAATGCTTTGGCAAGGCGACTGGTATGTTGGATACCTACCTACTCAAAAAGGGCACAAGCAATACACTCGGTCTTTGGGAATGCCTCCTTTTCTCTTCCTTCTTTAAACATCGAGTAGCACATGTCTTCTCTACAAGGAGGTACCTTCAACAACATTCATCTTCGTCAATCTTTACCTACCTTCAACACCAACCCCATCTCCACTCAAGACATGTGCTTCACAGAGCCCAAATCCAAGTTCCCTATGCTCTCTTTCCCGGCAGAAATCCGAATCATAATATACCGGTCAATCTGGACTCTACCCGTTAACCGCGGCCTCACCACCGGCCTCGAGTGCCTCGCCCTGACTTGCCGTAAAATCCGTGACGAAGTACTCCACGAGTACATCACCCACATCCTCCCATTCACCCAGATTCACCTGGGCAGCAAACACAGGATTCTCCAGGGGCTCCGGACGTCTTCCCTCCTTACCCAACACGTCAAACACGTCAGACTCCTCTGGGGCAGCTGCGTCTGCGCCAGGGATGGGGATGCGGTTCAACGTGGCAATCACCCTGGGGGCCTTCGTTGGCTATTGAAGCTGCAGCAGCTGACGAGTTTGGAGTTGGTGTTTACCGACGCTCGGTACAATGCTATGCAAAGATTTACCAGGAGCGGTTTAGCACTGCCGGTCCCAGCCGACGAGGACTCGGATGAGGAGGAAAATGAGGATGATGACGAATTTTTGAATTGGTTTTGCCTTGATTGCTGGGAACTACACATGGGCTTGCCGCACACTTTGGAAAAGCTACCTAGTTTTCAAGGTGTGGTGTGGCGCCGATGAGAACGGCGAGGCTGCCGGGCCTGTTATCAGAGAGACATGGGAGGCAACGAAGTGGTTTCGGAGGATGAAGGTTCTAGAGGAAATATATCAAAGGAGACTGCATTTGAATGTTGAAGATGGAGTGGAGGATGCGGTGGTGGTTGAGGAGGACGTGGATGATGTGGATGAGAACCAGGTATCTCTCCCCTATTTTCTTCTTACACACTCAAAATTGGATCAGAACTAACAAGTCGATGGGCCGTCATTTCAGGAACCGTCAACGTACCACATCGAGCACCACGTCGGCGATGTTGATGTTGAGTGGCCTCTGTCTGATAGAATCTGAAGTATCACAGGCCCTTCAATAAGGGTTTCAATCTGGTTTTGCATCGGCACCGAGAAGTTCGCCCGCATCTCACAGGTACTGGCGAGGTTATGGCATCATCCAGGAGGTCTTCGTCCATCTCTTGGAAAGTGGCTTCGTCGACGGGCTTGAACCAACGCGAGTGTGTACCCAGAATTCAGGAACTCCTAGACAAAGGATATCCCAAACGCACAGCTCATCCTTCAAGATTACTTTAATGGAGGTAAGCATATTTCACCCCGCAAAGCTTCTTGTGTTCATAAATGATGAAGAAGAAGAAAAAGAAAAAAAAAAAAAAAAAAAAAAAAAAAAAAAAAAAAAAAAAAGACTACCAGAGGGTGGGGGGGCCACCGACGATAAATGACGACAACTAAATAAGTATGCCATGTAATCCATTGAAACTCTTTGCGTGCGTATGGAGACCCTCTACTTCGTTCGCCATTCTCTCTTTTAATCACAAACTGTTAGAACGGAGAGGTTGCGCCAGAGTGTCTAGTCTAGGTTGCCGGTTTCCTAGCATCTTGGACCGGCCTCCAGTACGAACGTTATGTCGGTTGTGGTTGACGGAATTCTCTCTTACGAATCCAGGGTGGAAGATGGCCTTCACCTGGCCTTGAACCTGGAGACATGGAACCTTGACTACCGGACCTCTCCTCCCTTTCCTCAACCTTAACCAAGGTGGCGCCACTCGTTGCTCTTCACCTATTCACTGGACTTTCCATTCACTGTATGCGGCACGTCCTCCACTCCCTTCCCTTAGGTATTTAATGCTGCCCTGGCTGCCCTGGCATCAAATTTTTCCTTCTTCCTGACACCACTTCAAAGTCAAACCGAATATTTCTGATCGACGTTTGACCTCCACAGATTTTCCAGTCTCCTTGACAGGCTTGTAACGTCTTTCCAAAAGTATCAACGAACACTACGATCAACGACCACTATATACCACCTCTTTATTTTTATTGATCCTTGCGATCCATTCTCATCGCTTCTGCTCGCCATACCTTGAGCTCCCACAAGTCGCCAAGTACCTTCCGGTAAGCTCAGCAGGGGATTACCTACATTTTCGAGCAGCTAACCCTCTCTCAAAGGGAACATCCAACATGTGCCTCCCAAATAGCCAATCCACTTTCCTCCGTCTACCAGCCGAGATCCGCTTCATGATCTACCGGCCGATCTGGACTCTCGAGGCTGACCTCGACAACAACACCGACAGCGACTCTGACAGCAGTTCGGACTCGCATCTCGACGACAACAATAATGACCTAGTTGCACTCCATCAAGCCCACCAGCACCTGGAGATGATCACCGCCATCCAAAACCTAGCAATCACCTGCCAACAGATCCGCGAGGAGCTCATCACCGAGTACTTCACTCGCGTCCTGCCCAAGACCCAAATCCACCTGGGCAGTGTCTATCCTCCCCGTCACTCTCTCTACCGCGGCCGTGGCCCGGCTTGTCCTCCTCCCAGGTTCTCGGCTCTAGCCCATACCAACCACAAATCTTTCGAGGTACTCCAGTCCTCGTCGCTTTTCATCGAGCATATTCAGCACGTCAGCATCCACTGGGGTGGCTGTTTGTGCACTGAGGGCTCGATGTATCAATGCCCAATTCGGCCTTGCGGTCTGGAATGGCTGACAGAGTTGGAAGATCTCCGGACAGTGGAGGTGGTCTTTACAGATGAACCGTCATCTTGCAAGAACTGCCTGGCAAAGCTCCTGATGTTGCCAAGGACGCTGGAGAAGATCTTGTTTCGGGTGCTTATTAGTGACGTCGTTGCTGAAGCGTATGAGGCGCGGCTGACGGAGTGGTTTTGGGGGCAGAGGCCCAAGTTTTTAACGTACATGGCGGCGATGGAGGAGGAAGAAGAGGAGGAGGAGGTTATTCCTGAAAGGAAGGTACGTTTGTTCCTCACCCACCCTTTATTGCGGGTTTTCTCCGTCTTCTTCACGCTCCAAACCTTTGGGACTGCTCAGCTAATGCGTCGATGTCACTTAGGAATCGGGTTTATACAAGATTGAGCACCACATTGGTGCTGTTGTAGTCGACTGGCCTTTATCGGACACGGTATGATCTCTACAGGAATATATCTAGATGGTTTTCTGGGGTGAGAAGAGGAAGAATTGACGAGAGAGGGCGAGTCCCTTGTGGTACAAAAGCATGGACGCTATTTTCAGTCCATGGAAAAATTATGTGCTGGTTACACATCTCAGCATCATGAAGACATGTTTGACAGAAGCTTCATGTAGCGATATAGTGGCAAAGTCGAGTGATTTGTTTGTGTACCTGTCCGTCCTGAAATTGGATTCATGAGACGGAAATTGTGAACGTGGTTGAAAGTTGGTGATACTCAATCTGATGGTAGGATTAGAAACCAACAATTATTCACTTGGGCATATCGAGTACAATGAAGCTGAAGGTCCTAAGAGAGAAGGAGGGGGAGGGGGCAACTCGGCTGCTGTACACATCCACATGCATGGGTGCCATTTGAGTCCATGGACAGGTTACCGTACCTTTTGCACACTCCATGCACCAACCTAACTAAGGTACCTAGAGGTAGGCTCCCGCTTGAAGACACTGAATACGTAGTGGTGAGGATTTTCCTGTTCAGGAAAGTACGATGGATGACAAAAGGAAGGTGGAGAAGAAGAGAAGGTGGTTGGACATCTGAACATCCTGTTCTTCCGCGTCAGGCCGTTGCCTGCCACATTCGAGGGCGTGGCACCAGTCACCACCTGACAACAACACGAATGTCGTCTGATCCAGCTCCCAAACGTCGAAACTGGCAGACATATTTACTTCTATGGCCCGTTGGAAAACCTTGTTTTACCCCGCGCACTTCTCCTGTGGTCCCTCTTCTACAACACGAAGATTGCCCCGTCAGTTTACTCTCAACACTCTCGAGGCACTCTTTCCTGCGCGGCACTCCGTTATCGCAAACCCTCTCCTCGCCTGGCTCAAGATAACCGCAATCACCGCCTCAAGGACCCAGAACCTGGAAGGTGCAATGGGGCGCATGGATTATGGTGCAGTCTGTAGTACTATTTAACTGGTGGTCATTGTGAGAAACCGTTAGTTAGCCTGATCAACCAACCCACTCTCTCTGATCCTCTCTATCAACCGTGAGCACCAACGAGCATTGGTTGCAAACCCACCAAAGCAAAAGGGGGGTCGATCCATCCGAGGCTTTTGATATAGTCCATCTACGCAGCTCGGAGTTATCAAGCTCAGTCTGGAAGCACCAGTATCTTGTCAGATACGTCGCCGACGCCCTCATTCGATACTGCCACAACACATCAGAGCCACGGTATACCCAAAGTTTATCCATCGCGTATTCCCAGTAGCTAACCCTTTCGCAGCTATTCAATATGGCATCAAAGCCAAGACCTCCTATCCTCTCTACCCCGCTCGAGATCCGGTACATGATATACCGTTGCGCTTGGACAATCCCGATCGACCCCCGAAAGCATTTCGAGCTCGAGCCAAATTTCGTTAGCTGCTTGAACGGAATTTACTTCAAGCGCCAGTTTGGACAACTTCACGCTCTGGTTTCGATCTGTCGACAGATGAGGCAGGAAGTTCTTTCGGAATACTTCGACAGGACCCAGGTATATGTTCGATGGCATGATATTCAATTCGGATTCGGGAGGTTCAGCAACACGCCTTATCCGCTGTTTGACGTCGTAGCCTGCATCCAATCCTCCCGCCTTTTGACGCATTACACCCACCATGTCAGTCTTCTATGGGAGCCGTGCCTTTGCTCGAGGGACTCTGAGGGAAGACGAACCAACAATTATCAGCACTGGGACTGGCTGTTGAAATTGGAGCAGCTCAAAACCCTCGAGCTTGTTCTCTTTGAGGGTTGGATACGCGTAATGGCGTGTATCAGGTCGGATTCCCCCAGGTCAAATCCAGGTGGAAGCGCACAAGCTCTCTTCTGTTCTGTCTGCCTTTCCAAGCTCATGACACTACGGAATTTGGAGAAGGTCGTCTTCAAAGTGGACTTTTACAATTTCACCCCCACCGCGGCAGAGAAACAGAAATTGGAGAGATCGAGATGGTTTGCAAGAATAAAGAAACAAGTCTCGGATATGATCTTGAAGGCTCCGAGCCAGGTACGTGCATTTCCATCATTCTTCCTTCCTACCTTACCCTTTTGGTAAATCGTAGGTGAAGTAGACACTGGCTGACCAAACTTTGATGTGTCGATATATTCAGGAAGAGGCACAACCCACCTACTTGATTGAGCAGCACCTTGGTGCCGTCGACACCGAGTGGCCTCGGTCTTTCAAGATCTGACGTTACCTTTGGTCGTCTTCTTCCTTTCTCTGTTTTTCTTTCCATATACATTTAATTCTGTTCTCTTTTCTTCATTTTTATTTCTTATTTTTGCGGGATGCTGTCAACGGGCTAGTCGTCTGTTGTTGTGCCTTTTTAGCTGGCAACATACTAGTGTATGTACTATACAGGGGCGTATTTCTGGCCTTATAGGCCTTGTATGATCTTGGAAAATGACATGGAGGAAAAAAGTATTCCCGATTCAGTCGAGGTTTATTAGGTTACGTTGACAGGATGACCATAGACAATAGTATGCGCTTGAAGCACAAGTTGTTTCGACAAAGACCCTTTTTCACCTTGACCTTTTGTTGGCAACTCGAAAGTACATTCCATCTCCCTCACCTTTTTCTCAATCGGTTTTTTTTTCGTTACTAAATTTCTCTCATTTATTGTTCTGGACCTTGGTCAGATTCGAAGGACGCTACCATTGCCATAACCAACGCCGGTATGTTCAGCGTGTGTCCCGCATGTGTTCCAGTCAACTAATCCTTCAGCTGCACCAGTCTCCAAGCTACCTCTATTCATGATGGCCCCGCAACCGACAAAACCTCTCATTCTTGCTATTCCGCTGGAGGTTCGACACGAGATATACCGCTATACGTGGACGGTAACTATCGATGTCAAGAAACACTTAGTGAAGCCTTACGCGCACTGTGACCTGTACTTTTTGTCGAAACCCTACCGGGAACTCCAGGTCAAGCAACTTCATACCATCATTTCTATCTGTGGACAGATGAGAGACGAGGTCCTCTCAGAATACTTCTACCGAACGCAGGTTCATTTCCGGCACCTTTCCACCTGCGGGAGGACCCTTCTTCATCAATCTTACGCAAACCACTACATACGGTCCTCTCTTCTCTTTGCGTCCTATACCCAGCACGTCAGCCTTACTTGGGAACCACGCCGTCATCCGCCACCTGAATTTCTTCGTGAATTTTACGAGACTATTGAATGGATGTTGCAGCTGAAACAGCTCAAGACTGTTGAACTTGTGATTATTGATTCACAATTGCGCACTTTCGAAGATTTCCTGGACCAGTTGACGGCCGCCCTAAACGATTTTTCCGCATTCCATATCGTGTTTCAGCTCGGAACAAATCTGCGCAACCTAGAGAAGATTGTTCTCAAGCTCTATTTCAACAGACGCTGGGTGGAACTGGATGCGGATTTCTTGATAAGAGCACCTCGGCTTCGGTATTTCAACGACGTTCTTTCAAGGTCGTTGCGGGAGGACCTCAAACAAGTAAGTTGTACTCCCTTCAGGGCGGTTTACACTCGCTTTTTTCTTCCAATTCTCGAATCAAATGCTGACTGATAACCTGGTGATGCATTTGGTACCATTTAGCCAGAGCGACAGCGGACTTGTGTATTTGACCAGCACTTGGGTGCAGTCAATCTTGGTTGGCCTCTGCCGAATAGGCTCTGACACGATTGGAATTCGATTTCATATATTCAACACCGGGAACCTGTTTTTCAAATGGAGTAGGGTTTCGTTGAAGATCGAAACATGTCGATTAGACATGAAAAGGCCCAAAGCAGTTAACGCGTGGACTCGAGCTAACAAACAAACACATCAGTGTCGGACTGTAATCATCAGCCACCCAGCAGGCCCGCAGGTTATGTTGATACCGAAGACTGTGCCTATAATAGTCATGATGCTTGAGTTCATGTCTTGATCCAACAGGCCCAGTATTTTTTTTTCACTGGCGTCCGACCACGTCAACACGGAATCTCTGAAGGTGACGGGATGCTGATGGCACTTCGGATGAGTCGTTTGATGTCGGACAGGTTTGGGTGAAACTGGCAACCCCCATCACTCTCATTCTTTTTACTTTCCACTAAACCAGATCAAGTCCCACTGAGGCACTCCCTCCTGCAAACAGAGATTGACTCCTTGTGGAGTGGTGAAACACTTTACACTGCATGCCCTGCCCTTTTTCATCTCGACTTTGTGTCGGCAGTCCGTGCCTGCCACTTCGGTTCGTTCACCTCACCTCACCGGTATTTCTGTCTGGTATATTTGGGTGGGCCATGTTCCCAGTTACTTTTCTTCCTCTTCCTCTTCTATCAGAACAAAAGCCCAGACTGATCGTGGCATTTCTTTCCCTCCACGTCCCTCACGTTCCCTTCACCTCTTGGTTCTCAGTCATTTCGTTTCCTGATTGTCGATCCGTTGCAGAGGCAGCTGCAGAAATCTACCACCAAGGTCCAGTAAAGGTAGGTTTGACGTTTGTCCATGTCCAGAGTGTATGTCAAGCAGCTGACCCTCTCAAAACTGCAGCATTCAACATGGCCTCAAAGGCAAAATCCCCCATCCTCGCTGCTCCGCTTGAGATTCGACTCGAAATATACCGCCACACGTGGAGGATCCCATTCAGCGACGCCGAAAGACTTTATGAGCAGGCTGTCAGACGACCGAGTGGCCAGGCTCGTCTATATCACGAGATTTACTACTTTATGCTCCAAGTCGAACAACTTCATGCGCTGGTGTCTATCTGTTGGCAGATCCGCGACGAGGTCCTTTTGGAATACTTTCATCAAACTCAAGTTAGCGTTTCCAACTGGCGGGAGCATAACTCCATGCTTAAAGAGGTACTACCTCTACCTTACGATGTGCAACATATCCAGTCCTCTCTTCTATTCGTGTCCTATACTCAGCACGTCAGTCTTTTTTGGATTGCAGGTGAACCTGATCTCATGACCAGAACCCTGGACTGGCTATTGCAGCTGAAGCAACTCAAGACTCTCGAGCTGATTATCAATCGGCCTTCGCATAATATGAAGTCAGCTCCCAACGAGATTCTTGACTCCAGTCTCTTTGGGAGACTTACAACCTTGCGCAACCTGGAGAAGATCGTTGTCAGGATCAATGGTGGTCTTTGGAAGGAAACGCCCGAGGTCCAGAGGATTGAAGACATCCTCTCGAAATCGGTGCGGGAGGACCTCAGACAGGTATGTTGTACTCCTGTGAGGAGGGTTCCTCGATTTGTCTCTCACTCTCTTGAAGATACATGAATGCTTACTGATAATCTCATGTTTCGATACATTATTCAGCCAGAGGCACAGCCGACCTACGTATTCGAGGAGCTCATCGGCTGAGGCCCTTTTTGACGCGATCTCTCTGCCGTGTAGAATTTGACGCAACCCTCAAGGCGCTTCATTTCCTTCGGCTTTTCTTGCGAATCAAAGTTGAATTTGCGACGACAAAGGTTTCTCGACAAGATGGTATAGTGGACTGAAGGGGGCAGGCTTTCTAAGTCGCACGTTTTCAGGCACTCAACCTTCATTATATCCCGATATTCATTTCAATGATGTCCTTTTCGTTCCTACAGTCCCCTATGGCGATCCGAGCGTTTGTCGGTGCATACACATGCAGGTCGTCCCCTTCTGGTCGCTGAGAAAGACCAGACAGTCGTACGACGAATTTGAGTTGATCCGTTAGACGCATATTCAATTTTTTCTTCTTGTTGAATGAGTCAGTTGGTTGGGTTTCCTCGTCGTGCGCTCGCTACCTTTGAGGTAGTTATCAAGTGATGAATTTCTCTCGTTCCTAAGGGAGGTTGTTGTTGTTGGGGTTTACCTTCAAGAGAGCCGAGGCTAAGGGTTGGGGCTCAGCGTACAATGTACCTAGGCGAACTGATTGGTCGATAAGGAGCCATGGCTGGTGGGCGACGAGCACGCGGCATTGACAGTTTCCTAGCATCATCGATATTCCTCTTCTTTGCGTCTTGGGGATGGCCATTCTAGACGCCAGCTGAGTGCTCTCGCCGGGCTCTCATATTGATATTCCAAGAACAAACACATCTATTCAACCGAGATCCCCTCCCAGACGCCTTCTCTTGATGTCCACCTCATCTCTGATCGTAGCTATTCGTTACACCCTATTCGTTCCCATCTTGGCCCTCCTCCCCGCTGCCTTCAGTTGCTGATCCTACTGTGGCTTCTGGCCATAAACCACCTTCAAGGTGTAGTATCCATGCACGTTCCTCCTCCTGAGCTGCTGACGCAGATAAGCAGCATACACGATAATCTCCTGTTGCGACCAGCCCAAAATGGTACCGAACATAAATTGTATGATACCCTCAACGTCGGTTGTCATGGTCGCATAGGCATAAAGGCCAATCTCCTTCATCCTTTGGTCTGAAGGCCAGGGCGAAATGGGCATCTTAAACTTCAGTTAGCTTCTCACCTGGCAATGGCCCCTACTTTTCACCCTCCAAGGAGGAGAGACAGGAGTAACCTACCTTGAACTTCTTGACCGTTATATTCTCAAAGCCTGCCTCCATCATGGCATCCTCCATTGTGGTAAAATCGGCGGTCCTGGACATGCGGTTGACCCGGTTACCAGCTGCCTCGAACAGTTTGCCATACTGATCCAACGGACTATTCTCCTCGACAGATCCGTCGTCAGACGAAACCATGACTGAAGTATCAACGTGCTCGAACCAGCCCCCGGGCTTGCAGCACCGGAACGCTTGACTATAAATGTGGGTAAGGCTGCCGAAAGCGCCATTGAGTAACTGCATATGGATGTAATCGAAATGATCATCCCTGAAAGTCCATTCCCTGGTGGCATCTTCGATCTCGAAGAGGAGATTAGGGGGCACCCAACTCGGCTGCACAGGAGAGATGTCGGTGCCGATTACGGTGCAGTTGGTATACTTGTCAGCGAAATCGATGGCCCACAATCCCGAACCCGTGCCAATATCGACGGCGTTCTCAATATTTTGGCTGAGAGGCGCTTGATGCAGCTTTCCTTCCAGCATCATGTCGATGGCATGGTAGAAAATGTCCAAGGCCTCGAGATGCTTCGGGTCATTGGGGGCCCAGTATTCTTCATCCATGGCGGCATGGCTGTGATAGGTTCGGCCATTGATATTGCGGTAATTGAGAATACTGGACGAAATGGAAGCGGTCGAGCTCTCGATCTCGTCACCAAGGGTTGAGTCTGCATCATCAGTGTCGTCTGCAGGCAGTCCTTGCTGAGTCCAATGAGCTCCGAGGAGAGCACCACCAGATGGTGCATCATCCACGGGGGGGTTGCTCATGATGGAAAGGGAAGCGTTTCTCGGGGACACAAGGAACATTGATACCACAAAAAGTTGAGAGAAAGGTATGTCAGGAAAAGTGCCGACATGTGAAGCAACGTCGCTGCGGCGTGGTATCCTTTTTCATGATTCGCGGATCCCCAGCTCCCATCACAGGGGCTTCGAGACCCTAAGCCGACATAGGAAGTGGTCACACACCGACGTGTCCAATCTTCTTCAACCGGGCCGCCCACGGGCGACTCGTCAGGTCGAGACTCTTGCATAGTGAGATCGACTACATATCGGCCGTCTGACTAGGAATAGTTGCGGACCAACCAGTCGGGATCATCGACTCACACTAACTAGGAAACCCTTTGGTCCGCAACTGATCCGATGTAGATCTGACGAGTAATGTAGCTACACTACAGCGGCCCCAAGTGCGGGCGGGATACATAGGTAGTCTCACAAATCGGAAAAAGTTGGGTTGGAAACTTGGGGTCCCCCTCGCACAGCTGCAACCGAAGGGTACCTCTCTGTACACTAGGTAATCACTCGAACTCCAATACGATCAAGACCCCTTGGATTTCCAAATCCAGGGACATACGAGACCACAGTGCAAATGAGAGCAACCAGAATCTCTAAAAGTCAAAAGTTGAAGAGTCGATACGAGGGTCAACAACCAGAGAGAGAGAGAGAGTGTGTGTGTGTGCGAGTCAGGGAATAAGCCTACCAGGGCTGCCAAGCAACCAGCAGCGTAGAGGTCGCAATGCAACTGGATAATGATCTCCGAATTCCCCTGTCTTCTCCGAACTTGTTTAGACTAGTACAAGCTTGGCATGACCCGCGCGCTTGACTCCACACGGCTTAATCTCCGGGACTTGGGGTAAGGATGGTTAGTGGTGTAACTGTGCAAATGGATCCCTCCATGAGTCCATTCAGGTACCTCCATTATTTCGTATGCCCTAAACTAGGTATCGAGACTCCACGGAACTAGGCTTCCTGCGAGGGTACAACAACTCCGGGCAGCAAAACACCGTTCGGATTTAACTTGTTCACAAACGGGCACTCCCGTAATATTGGATTATAGTGTACCGTACACGAGATAACGATCATATCCGACCAGTCACAATACCCAGCAAACTCAACATCTCTATCACATACCTACTTGGCGACTCTCCGCTCCCCCTGCTACATCAGGCCCTCGTAGCAACGACTTCGGTCGCTACGGATTGTTTTAGGACTTTGGCCGTTTCCCCCCCCTCGCCCACACAGACTCGGATTCCATTCCTCGAAGAATGACTGGCCCGGCTTTTCTGAACAACATGGACCTCACGGCGATAACTCGCTGTTCCGACTGTCTCTAATCATTGACGTGGAAGCATGGCTGGCTGCTTAGTTGATCTGCCACCCTGGACTTCCCGCCGGATTTTTGCTCTGAGGTTTGTATACGAGGATAACAGTGACCCTACAGGTACGGTCTCGTCCTCGATAATACCGACTCTTTGAGACAACGAGGCGGTATCGACGCAATAAGGCATGTGCTCCCCCAAACAAAAAACTATCACCGAGGTCATAGGCAGGCAGGCACCCTCCGCTTCTATAGGTAGGCCTTTTCTGCACTTCCTCCGACATTACATCCTTGCGAGAACAATACTACACGACGATACGCCAAGATAACTCTCACGACTACCTTTTTCTGGACAAGTACGGCATTCCCTGCGACGCCTTCTTCTCGGCACAAGAACCGAGCGGATTGTCCAGATAATCTAAGGGGGAACGACAGATCTGGTTGTGCTAGCTGAGGCTGCGGAGGTTTCGGACCTGCACGCTCTGATCAGAGAAGGAACTTATGTCGAGAGGTTGAGGGACGCAACGGGAATCAAATGCGTTTCGTTCGGGAGTAAACCGATTCGGCATGTTCGTGGCGAGCGTGGATCACATCATTTGATTGATCGATGGAGTGGCCTACAGGAAGTCGTCCCAGACTGTACATTGGTTATGTCGGATGACGATGGAAGCTGCGTTGGACGACGGTCCGGCTTGGAGAGAGGCCATTTTGAAGTAGGAAGCAGGAGGTATACAAGTTGTGAGGGGGGAGGGAAAAGGGGTTGCTTGGTGTGATGTGATATGCGTGGCCAAAAGGTCGGAGGTCCAGGAAGGAGTAAATTCGGCCCAAGCGGACAGATGTCTTTCCCGTTTTACAACCTCACCTATAACGTCAACTATCTAAAGAGATGCACGACTACTGCCAGATAATGGAGTCTGTTGCATTACTTCCGAAGCAAAAAACGCAAAGAGCTGTAAGGACAACCTCCTGCATCACCAAAAAGACAAGCTTCGCCGCACCAAAAGGCGACATAATCGATGCGGCACTTGAGAGAAATTGCAGAAACCGACGCCGGCAAACAGTACCAGTCGGACCGGAATTATAAATAGATGCAACGGACTTCCACACTCCTTCGGTGTGTGAGAATTGCATTTATCGATCATGGAGCATGATCCCGCCTGGCCAACCGACGGATAATACAGCAGGAGGAGATTTCTGGTATTTATTCCTTCCCCTTGCCGTATCTTTTCTTCTCTTTTTGTTCTCCTTCACACCCCCACAGTCAAGCACATTTCACTCTCGTTCTGGATACCACTTATCCACGTCTACTACTCACTCGGAAGTCGACTTGACCACCTCGCCAACGATCAGCCCATCGGCAGTCGAATTTCCAACAATGAAACTTGGCACTTTCATCACCCATGTGCTGGCAGCCGCTGCCACGCTAGGCGTATACGCTATACCGACTCAACGACGTCCTGTTTCGGAAACTGGCGGAGGGTTGAAGGTTGCAAACCTGTCAAATGGTCTGCCGGAAGATGTACAGACCCTACGGCGGAGGTACGAGTCTCCGGAAGCAGTAAGACCAGATTGGCCCGACTGTCCCGAGTTCAACAAGGGGAGCTTCGACATCAAGTATCCCAAACTGTATCCAACCAGTGCCGCCTGGGACGGCAACCAATGCGTGCTATTCATTGGTTCACAGGCGGCGCCCGAGGTAATTGTCTACGACCCCTACAACGGCCATGTCGTCCGCGTTGTCGAAATCCCAGACATTGCCCACAACACAGATTACTACATCTCAAGCGTCCACTGGGACTTTTACACGGGCCTCTGGACCTTTCTCGCCACCAGCCGCCGCGCGGAGGAGTCGGGCAACAACCATGTCATCAAGTACGACGTATACAAGAACGCATTTATCTGGAAGGTCAACCTGAAAGCCTTAACCAGCAAGGTCGGCGGCTGTTACGGCCTCGAGACTGACTTCGAAGGCAACACCTACGTCGCCTGCACCGACGGTAACACCATCATCCGCATTTTATTCGATGGCCAGTTCCCCAAGACTTGGTGGCCAGAACACATAGACCCCATAGATCGGGCCATCCGCGGCCTAGCCGCCATCCCTGACTCCAGCCGGCTCCTCACCCACAACGGGGAGGGCCTCATCGGCGCTTTGGACATGACCATGGAGTTCGGCCAGCGGCTGCCTGATTGGCTGGCCAACACAAACATGATGATCCCTGACGTTCAGGGCATCACGCTTCCGCCAAAGTACAAGAGCCACGTTTGCCTGTTGACCTCCCCCACACAGGGCGTCCAGGTCGTCGAGGCCATGGGATGGCTGTGGCAGACGGAAGACTACTTGAACCACCGTCATGCGGTTCAGCACACCTTTACCGTGATTCCTCCGCCGCCTGCCATCGCGGCCGAGAATGGATATCCGTCCGACACGGTGCAGGTCGGGTCTAACAGTATTTTCACACTTTTTGAGTACAAGGACGGGCACAAGAATGGGGACGAGAGTGTCTGGCATTTTGAAGATATTACGCAGGCGATTGAGCAAAATCTGGCCCTGCTGCATGGCCCTAATGGGTTTACGGGCTGGAACGATCCGATGATTTGGCCGGATGCTGATGAGATTCGTTTGAAGACGGACCTGCCGGAGGGATGGCATTTGAATCGCGGCACATAGTAATAAACGTGCTGAGATCATTGAACGAACCGCTCAGTCGACTCCAGGCGACGAGCGATGTATCGGAGTTGGACAGATATGGACAGGGTTGTTTGGAAGAGTTTTCTGCATGTCTTAATATTTGGAAACATATGAGAAGTAATTTGATGCTGCTTTCACACCTCAACGGTGGGACAAGTTGGTGTTCCACGATAGTTAAGAAATCCAGATTTCCTACAAACACTTTCCAATTTTATCATCTCGTATACAACGATGGTTCATGGGCATGTTTGTTATTTGGTAATCAATCTCCAGATATTACCTCTAGGTGGGCTTGCTTTCCACAGAAATCATAATCCCAAACTACACAGCTGATATTCCGCACGTTTCTGCCAACCACACAGAGGAGGATGAAACACCTGTAGGCACTGCACTGCAAGTTATAAAGGCCTTGGAGCCCTTTCTCGTGGTCGGATCTCTAGGTCCCGTATTTCTATATATATATTGACCTGTTTATTCTATATACTACGATTTTTTTGGATATGACACTCCAGATTTACAGGTTGCACGGGGCAACTTTCGATATGGCCTGAGGACCCTGGAGTTCTGGGGCTCTTGAGGTTACTTATTTACATTCACTCTTATTTTCTATTTACCACTTTAGACATTACAACTATATTACCTATTCACCGGATCGCCTTTTAAATACCTATTTAATTCCAACCTTTTACAATATATCCCTATTTTATTATTTTTAAAAACTTTTACCATTACTAATCGCCGTCTTCTAATCTCCCTCTAGACACTCATCAAAGCAGATTACAACTGTCGAGCTTACCTTTCTCCAACCAAAGACCACTCTCACTTTTCTCGTTTCGACTTCCTTCAAGATGGTCGAGACGAGAAGAGCCAAAGCTACAAGGCTCGTCCTGGACTTGACAGGTACGTTTACTCCTCTATTACGCCTTGAATAATGGTCTAACGAGTACTTCTCACCAATAGAAGCTCAATCGAAACATGCGGCCTTCATCCGCCTCCCTGTTGAAGTCAGGCTGATGATCTACAAGCACCTGTGGACGCCGACCGTCATGCCATGGGAGTACGACGTCGTTGCTCAGCGTACGGGCCAACCCGTCAACGACCACATGAAGCAAATCCACGCGTTGGCGTCCGTCTGTCGTCACATGCGTTACGAGGTTATAGCCGAATACTTTTTCCGAGCCCAAGCGCACGTCACCTACGCCGTCGGCGGCGGCGGCGGCGGCGGCTCTTACTGCGGTAGAAGCGATATGCGAGTGCTTGCCTCCATGTGGCACCTCAAAAGCTCCAGCCTTTTCACAGAAAATCTCCAACACGTACGCCTGAACTGGCTTCCCATCAATGACTGGTACGGCTGGGCTACCTGGGATAGCATGGTGGACAAAACCAGCGTGCGAACGGAACTTTCCTGGTTTGCCATGGCCGCCTTAGGGTACGGCGGCGGCAGCGGGCAGCAAAAAAAGAGAGTCTTGCGACAGATGAATACCCTGAAGTGGCTGGCGAGCTTGAGAAGCTTACGGACTTTGGAGATCCTGTTCATCGATGTCCTGAATAAGGATAATGAGTTCGTATCCTTCTACAACCCTGAGGCATGGCGGAGATTGCTGAAACTGCCCAAGCTGGAGTGGGTCGCCTTACGGCTCTTCTCCGGCCGCCACGAAGAATGGAGGAACTCGCCGGAAATGTCTTCAGATCGTGAGAGAGTAATGGATCTGATGGATAGCCTCGTGAAAGGTCCTTCTTCAATGCTAAAGGTGCGTTCTTATATGGTGTTCAGATCTGTCTGGAAAGCTCGCTCCAGACGTTGGTTCCCAACACATTCGTTGCTTGCTTTGATATTTATTAATACAATTAGGCTAACGATATTTACTTCGCGCAGAAGGAACGTACGGTCCATAAGATCGACGTTCGTGTTGGTGCGGTCACAGCCGAGCTTCCCCTTTTTCCGGCAGTTTAAGGTTCATCATTTGGTTGCTTACATACGGCTTTACTTTTGGCGGAATTTATCCTCGTTTATGGACGTAGTGCTAGTCAGCTCCTTCCTTCTCTATTAAGGTAGGTTTCTAAATCGGCTGTCTCTCGTCACTTTTTTTTTCGCCCGTCTCCATGTCCTCTGGGAAGTGTAAAAACCGAAAGAACCCTTTGTATATATCCTAGGCCAGAGTATATTACTTCAAGGTTAGATCAAAGCACCTTTTGGTCCTCACTTTCCGAACCCAATATAATGTTCCTGAGCGCCTAATACAACTATGTAAATAATATAACAATCTTCTTAGGTGAAAATTGTTATGGCGGCCTTCAGTGTAGGCAAGTCTTACCCGTGACGCGAGCATCTACTCGGCGCCGGAGTAGTGGCGCACTTTCCTTTCCATATCTCTGTACATTCAGCCAAGACAAGGGCGGGTCTCTCTATCACATACTTGGCTTCCTCTTGTCATCTTCCTCCGAATTGTTCCTTCCTTTTTCCTTTCTTTCGCAGGGACAGTGTATGCACGAAACCGAAGAGTTGTCACATCTTCCCAAAGGCAGCCCATCAACCCCATGTTAACTGAGCGAGGGTAAAGTAGGTCTTGTTCTAGCCAAGACTGCATTGCACAGCACTGGTCATATATCGTCTGCATATATTTGAGAAGTACTAGACGCTAAAAACAGACAAATTATAACACGACGTGGTTGAGTCTTTATAAAAAAAGACCATCTTCAAAACTTCGCCCTCGACCTTCCCTCAGAATATCCTCTCTTGCTTGCTAAGTCCGGCCTTTATCCAATGTGAGGAACATACCGAGACCACTGAGGCAACTGATATGCCGAGTCCGGTAAGTGCGCGAGGTTGATGAACGAGATGACGACCAAGTACATGCGTGCCAGGACGTAAAGCACCATGAATAAAATTGTGAATATGTCGAGCAGGGCTTTGAAAAGGTAAATGAGAAATGTTATCAAACCGATCAGTAAAAATCCAGGGGAATGGACCAGCCACACTGCCATATGGCAGAGTATCCTGACAAGTTTGTTGTTCTCATAAGAGGGTTGTTGCAAAAAAAATGCAAGTAGCCCATGACTGACTTTACACCCACTGCACCAATGATAAATGTCGTAGTAGTAGTTCATGCTTTCCAAAACAGAGAGAATATCGAAGACTGTACCAATTGGTTTCTGCCAGAAGGGCGGGAACTTGGTCCAACTAAACACGCAAGCGACCAAGATACCTGTGGCGGCTATGGTGATGCTCGAGATTCTCCAGAGGATTCGTTCGACGCTGGTGGTGAACGGCGCGTTCCAAGCGACGCAATGGAGCCCGCCGTAGATAAGAGCCACGAACCCGAATCCGATGAAGAGTTCGAAATAGTTCTCGTAGTCTTGAAACCGGGGCAGATTGCGAACCCGGTCAGTGAACGTGTCTTTTAATCCGTCAATGTACATGTGTTGTGCCAAGATCGTACGATGAGACTGAGCGTATTTCAGGGCTAATTGCCATCTGATAATGTCAGAATACTGAATAACGATGCGAGTCATCTCATTTGTAGACGTAGAATATGGCGAAGAATCTGGGGAACGGAATGCGCTGAAAGGTCCCTTTTTGGTCGAATCCCGTATGCTTTGTCCGGTTAGTTTCACACCATCCCAGACACCTTCTCCTCCGCTACCCGACCCAAGGGTGAAAACATGCTCCTCTTGAGGACGTGATCTGACCATTCCAAGAAGAGCAGAAGATTGTTTGACGGTTAAATAGAGTCTAGGACTACAAAGCAGACTTTGGTCAGTCACTGTTTGACAGAATAATGGATTGGCTGGGTATACCATCAGGGAACTGTGGCAGAGTATTTTTGATGGGTACAGAGTAAATAACTGGAACGAAACTCACACATTCGCATTAATCCCACCATGGAATATCATGGCAAAAAAAGGTCCAAGCCTGATTCCGTCGTCATAGCCATAGCCATGGTTGTCGATTGTAATTAGTCCTGCCCCGTAGACTTCATATCGCTTTCGCCTTTTAGGGATTTTGTTCCATATTTTGAGTTTATACCGCGTTTCTCTCAAGGGCTGCCTTGACAAGTCGACATAATAACCAGACCCATCTTTCGTGCTACAGTGCACAGGAAAAGCGAACATCTCACCATCGAAGTGGAGATGATCCGATTCCGCGGCCTTCTTGTCCAGCCTGCTCCTAGAACACATGGTTGCGATGAGCTTGGCCTTTTCCAGCTCTTCCCACTTCATGCTGGGGCGGATCAAGACCGTTTCAGGCTCGACGATATCGAGGGGTTTATCCCACCATAACGCATAGATAAACAATGTGCAAATTGCATGACCGAGTGTGTTGAGCTCGAGCAGACTGATTGCTAGGCCTTGCGCAAATCGTGTGAGACACTGGACGCAAAACCAGGATGCTAGCAATTGGATATTCGTTAGCTTTGAGAAACAAGAATGGAAAAGGGCTACGAACCTTGGATGCAGACAAGTGTTTTCGCGAAGGCGCTTCCTTTGCTTTTGTCTTTTATCCTATTCTCAGACAGCTCAGGAATCAACTTTTCGTGGCCATGTTCCTTCAAGAATTGTAACCCTTTCGGGGTCAATGTGAGCTGCGTGCGCTGTCGTTGACTCTTGTTAATGATGAGTCGTTTGCGTTCCCATTGAATTTTAGTAACATTTTGGGCTGGGAGGAAGTTTGCGATTCTGTCTGCAACATCGACTTCAGGATCATTATCCCCAATCTCTATCGCAATGCCTCCCATGGCCGCCAGGAATCCATGTACCATGGTCCACTTTTCAATAGTGTGAACTGTGGTTGAAGGAGGATCCTATTGTCAGGTTGAAAGTCAGCATATACAAAATCCTCAAAGTGTCGTGTCATTGACCTGAAGATTACCTCCTCGTCCTTTCCACGGCGTCGTGATAAACAGGGTAGCCAGCACGTCATAATGTCCGTGATACCCTTTCTGCGGGGTGGCGAGTCATCATGGCAGAGTGAATCGCTTTCGCAAAACGAGTCCCTGCCAAAAAGCAAGTCCAAACCATAAGACGAGTCACTGTCGTGCTTATTCATTATGTTGACAAGTGACCTAGCCTGCACATATTGTTGATAGGCCGTATAGGCAATCTGTCCTCCAATTAGCTATTCTGGGCATGTGAATATGATACCATTGATGCTAAGGGTATTTGCCTGGGTAGGTACAGTATCGGACCTTCACTCAACCACGCAAGAGGCGTACCTGGCCAGCCGGTATTGCTTTGTTGTCACGTCCTTGGTATAGCATTCGCGATACATGTACATAACGAAGAAAGAAAACAATGAACGAAAACTTACAATTTCAGGACTCAACAAACTAAGCATCAACCACCCAATCTTGCGCAACAGCTGCTTCCAACCGGGTTCATTGTGCTCGGGCACATTCAAGTGTATCGCCGTCCAAACACACAAGCCGAGAGTGACCAGACACACGGACAGAATACTGAAAGTTCCTCGCGTGCCCGGCTCTGGAACCCAGTTCGGATCGGAAGAGTTGGTGAAGCTGTGGCCAAAGATTTCGTTGCCCATGGCGCGGCAAAACTAGAATGTTCGGTGATGATAATGATTTAAAAATAACGGAGGCAAAAGGACGTTGATTTCCAAAAGTCGGGTTGGGGCGAAGAAGTGTGAGACGAGGATTTCCCATGAGGAAGCTACAGGGCGCCAGATAGGTAGCCTCTGAGGGAAGCAGCAGGCTGTATGGACTGCTCGCTACCCTGATATATAGGGCCCATCAACGGGGCCTCGAGCTCCCTCAAGCAGTTAGATCAATCAACAAGACATTCATCATCCATCGGGTGCTACGCTGATCCACGCATCAAAGTGTGTCGGGGAGAAATTCTGCCATCAGCAACCAACACTTTGGGAGGCAAGTGGAAGGTAACCTAACCATCATGGCACCTTCCCCCTCTTTTTTTTTTTCCCATCCTCGGCCAGATCAGAATGGAAAAAAACTCACTTAAACTTGCCTGCTGTTTCGATAGGTCAAGCGTTAGCCAATGATCACTTGCACAGGGCAGGCACTCCAGTCGACTGGATAAGGGCGTGGGCACGTAGAGGTAGGTACATACCTGCCCAACTCTGGAACTCAGCCGCAAAAGTAATAGGCGATTGGTGTTTCTTGTTTTGTTTTCTTGGTGGCAGTTGCGTCCACGTGTACACAGCCTGCACTATCAGACAGTGAGTGTGGATCAGCAAAGCATATCCGACAAGGCTGCGTGAAAATTCCGAGCCCATTGGTCCCCCTCACGAACAGATAACGAACGGCAATGCACCTTCGACAATAAAAGATATGGCCAGAATATGAACACGACATTCCACACTCCACGGCATCATAGCCACCATGAAGTCCATTCGCCCAACCCTAGTCCAGTCCAGTCCAGTCCAGTCCAGTCCAGCCCAGCCCATTTCCCAACTAATACTCAAAATTATCATCAACAGCCGGTCCCTTATTCTTCCCCACGCTCTCCTGCTTCCTATACATCTCAGCCACCATCCTACTCGTCGTCGCCTCATCCGGCTTCTTATCGTCTCTGACCTTAATAAACCTCGGGAACCTGAGAGAAATGCCCTTCTCGCCACTCGGGTCCACTCCTTCCTTCATGCCCGCCTTATACCTCGGGCTAAGCGTCAGATCGGCCGTCTTGACCTCCCATACGTACTTCGGTTCGAACCAGACGTCAGGCTGGTGTTGCCCACCCGAGGAGTGCGCGTAAAAGGGCTTGGGCCGGTCGATGATGATGGGCGATAAAGAAGAGTGGAGTTCCTGTAGAACTTCATCGGAGAAGCCCGTGCCGATGTTGCAGACCGTTTCGTAGGTGTCGGTGCTAGGGTTGTAGCAGGCTAAAAGGAAGGCGCCAAAGACGGAGGTGCGCTTGCCTTTGCCGTGGTAGGCGCCAAGAACGACAAGGTCGAGCGAGTCGCCTATGCCGGCTAGGTAATCCTTTTTGATCTGTTTTTGACGCGTCAGTCATCGTTCCATATAGTCTTCAGAGAATAAGGGAGAAAACAAACCTTCAACCAGTTCCGACTCCTTTTAGACGGCTCGTACCCACTCTCCGCGCCATCCAACATCTTGACCATCAACCCTTCACAACCCGCCTTCACGGACTCATCCAGAAAAGTCTGAATCTCATCCAGCTCCTGCCCATCCATGCTGGTCGCAAACGCAAACTCGCCCTCCACAGGCTTGAACGCCTCCCTTAACAACTCCCTCCGTTCCCTCAGGCTTTTCTCCACCACCGCCTGGCCGTTCAGATACAACAAGTCAAACGCAAACACGCACACTTTGACTTTGACATCCTCCAGCTTGACATCCTTCTTCTTCCGCGTCATCAGCTGCTGGAACGGCAACACCTTCTTATCGACTGTGTCCCACGCCACGGACTCGCAATCCAGCACAAAACTCTTGGTGCCTTCCTTGACCCAGGTCGGCAGCTTCGCGAGCACATCCGGGTACTTCTGTGACAAATCCTCCGAGTTGCGTGAAAAAATAGCCGCAACACCTTTACCAGTGTCCTTGCTAGCGACCTGGCTGAGGTCGCCTTCGCTCTTGGGCGCGTCCTTGGCCACGTAATGGATCTGCGCTCTCTCGCCGTCGTACTTGTACTCGCACGTGAACGTCTGGCCCTCGAAGCGATCGAGCACCTCCGTGATGGCCTTGGTCGGGTTAGCCAGCATGGGCTTGAGCGGCACACCCGGGCGAAGCTTGCAGTGCTCGCGAAGGTTCATGATGCCGTGCTGGAGCATGGCGGGGATGATGACGTCGTAGCTGGGCAGCTCGCTGTAGACGGTCTTGAGGATCGACTCGGCTTTGCTGAAGTCGGATTCGCTGGGGATTTTCCCCTTTTGCGCGAACTCATGTGCAATCATGGCTTGCGCCAGGGAGACAATGACGGACTTCTCTGCTAGTCCCAACCGCAACTTACCCTCTAGGAACCGGACGATGAACTTGGCCTCGCTCGGCCCGCCCTTCTCCTTTGTGATGTCCACCTTGCCAGTTGAATTCGCATCTGCAGCCGACAAAAGCTTCTTGATACCATCCACCTTCTTCTGCTGAGCGCCCGTGCCCGTCATCGTCGTAGCGATATCCATCAAACCCTTATGCACACCGCGAATGGTCAACGGTTTGGGCTTGAACATGGTCGGTTGCTTCGATCTCGACTTGACGGCCACCAGCCCCAAATCACCAATCTCCTTCTGGTCGTTCTTGACAACAGCGATGCTACGGCCTGTAGTTTCGCCGATAGCCTTCATGATGAGCGACTCGCCAATGCCCAGCTCGATACCTGCATAATCCGGCGCAAGCTTGTTGATCATGAGCAGAACGGTAGGCAGCAGGTCGTCGGGCGTAAGACGGAGGACTTGGCGCAGGAAAAGAGAGCAGTACTCCATGATGAGTAGTCTCTTCCGCGTCTGTTCAATAAGCGAAAATGTCGTGCAGAGGGCGGCATAAGGAACAGGCTCGCCGGCCTTCCAGTCTGGGTAGGGGTCCTTGACCTTGGTTGCGAGTGTGGTCTGGATGACCTTGCGGGCCTCTTTGGCAACTGCTTCGGTCTTTTCGTCCTCGTCTTCCTCTTCCTCTTCGGCTTCGATTTCGGATGCGGATGCTGAGGATGCCTCCTCGTCGTTTGGCTTCTCTACCCGCGCGGGAGAGGAACTCTTCTTTTTTAGTGCGGGCTTGGGTGAGGCTGCTTTTTTGCTCTTCTCCTCCTTCACCGGCGCAGAAGACGCGGGAACATCCTCCATGACTTCGTCATCGTCGTCTTCAACCACCTTGCGGCTTCTCCTCGACCGCTTGCTGGCAGGCGCAATAACATCGTCTGAGTCCTCGTCGGTCTTGGCCTTTTTCGACTTGGGGCTTTTGGTCGTTGGTGATCGTGACCTTTTCTTCTTGTTGCCTGCTTTGTGTCCCAATCGTTAATTACCATGTTACCAACATCACCTTCCAAGGACGTAACTCACCTGTCTCCTCCTTCACCTCCTCCACGACCTCCATCACATCCTCGTCCTCCTCTGCCTTGCTTTTCTCCTTAGTTGTCTCCTTAGCAACTTCCTTCCCCTTAGCCGGCCTTCCCCTCCCCCTCCCCGTCTTGGCAGGACTCTTATCCTTGATCTTCATCTCCTCCACCTTCTTCTCTACCTCTTCGTGTCCCCCATCTCCGCTGCCAATCTCGTCCTTTTTGGGTTCTTCCTTCGTCTTTGAGGATGTCAACGTCGCTTTCGTGCCAAAAGACAATTTTGTCTGCTGTTTCCCACCCGCCGGGGCGTCTGCCTTGCCGAAGAACTTTCTGCAATGGGTTTTGTCATCTCGTTAGCATCTTCTTCTTCCAGTACTTCAGTAGGGGAAGGGAAAGGAATAGACTAGACTCCAAAAAATGGTGGTAGTAATGTGTGTAAGCGGAAATCGAACAATGTCTCTCCAGAATTGGGTCCCAAAATCGTCTTTCAAAGATTGTTTTCGAGATTTGTCTCCAAAAAACGAAAATGGTTTCCAAAAACGTTTTGCCATTAGTCGATCCGTTACACTCTCAACTAACCCCAACGTAGTCTGCCTCCCTCCCCTCGGGTTTTTGTCCTTGACGTACCCCAACGTTTGCTGCTGCTTGGGAGGCATTTTTGTGCCGGTATTTCTGGGATTGTTCGTCGTGATGTTGTTGTTATGTATAGCGTAACTAGCGTAATTTCTTCGTCCTCCTCCTAGTCGTGTAAGCCCAGCAAGTCCAATTGCCAAGTTCGCTCCGCCCTGTGAGGTTGTCGAGGTCGAGTTGTTGAGACTTAGTCGACCAAGTGATGATCCGAGGAGGGCAACAAGTTGAGAGGGGAATTGATTCGTCTTCTTTGTCTTGGCAATTCTTGTCGAAAAAACACTGGTGATGATGGTTCTCGTTGTCGTCCAAGTTGTTTTCGTCGCCAACCCAATCGCAGCAAGATTCGTCGGAATCGAAGTCGGTAGTACCGCAGAAGCTGCTCCCTTGCTTCTAACAAGCAGTGGGAGAAATTGTCTGGGCGCCAGGATGGTCGAACTTTTCCTGTTTGTCTTTCTTTCCTCCCACGGCGGATCGTTGTTGTCCTTTTATACCAACAAATACTAGTCTTCCAATCCAGTAACCTGGTTACCAATACCAATTGAGAAAAATAGGCCTGCTGCTGCTGCTGCTGCTGCCTGTTTCTGCCTGTTGTGTCGCAGTCGGCGCGCTTTCCCTTAGGTAGTTCCCTGCTGCCGTCGTCGTGTACTTGTAGTAGTACTGAGTGTCGTCCCTACTACTTACGCCGCGCTAAACCTTTTATGACGTGACGCGCCTTTCTGTGGTTCGTTAACGCGATCCCTGCTCCTTTCCCGCTAACAAAAAGTCCAGGCAACCGTCGCGTAAAGTGGCACGGTCACATGAGCCGCATTTGCCTTACATGCCTAAGTAGGTAGGTAGTATTTGCCTAAGACCCTGTGCTTGTGCACTAAAGCAATAGTCCATATTCCGCGCACGGGTGACAGAAGTCAGGGACCCCTTGCTGTGCGGGCGAAATTTGGGGTACCTACCGTCGCAACGTAAGCGCCAAGCACCGCCCATCAAATTGATCTCCAAATCTCCAACAGCTCAAAAATGTTGGGCTGAGAACCCGATTTGATACGACAGGGCTGGCAATTCGAGGCTGGGCAGGGAGGGGCAGGCTGCGATACGATATCGGACCTGATCTCACACAAGGTCATTCATTCACCTGATGCATCATAACAAGACCGCTATCTTGAAAGCTTATCAATTTCATAACCCGCCTTCCCTTTCCCCATCCCTTTCCCCTTAAACCTGTCTAGAGATATATATATGTGTGTGTGTGGTTGTGTTTGTGACTGTTTTGCGCTACGCAGAAATGTTTATTATACAAGGAAAATGGAAAGAAGAAGCAACAACCGTCCATGATGACCGACGTAGATAAAAGACGCCAGCACCATTTTTGTTTTCGTGATATGCATCAGAGAAAATGACAAGTTTCTTGGTTGTAACTTGAAAAAACCCATCTAGTTTGTCATTACTTCTGCCTCTCTACTCAATTTTCAACTTTTTTAGTGCTTGAAGTAGAAAAGCTCATCAGGGGTACGGCCACGGATAAAGTCGGGCTCGGTACCCTTGACGTAGATGTCCTCAAACAGAATCTGCTGGTTGGCCTCCGGAGGAGGCATGGCCTCGGCGGCGGCAACCTCCTCGTTGACGTAGGCGCGAGCCTCCTTGTCGAGGTTCTTGAGCTCCTCCTCCGAGGCAACACCCCACTCGAGAATGTGCTGCTTGAGGCCGGCAATGGGGTCGTTGGTGGAGCGCATGCGCTGAATCTCCTCACGGGTACGGTAGGTGGTGCCGGGGTCGGACATGGAGTGACCACCATAGCGGTAGGTGACGTACTCGAGCACGAGAGGGCCGTTGTCGTTGTTGGTCCACTGCTTACCGTACGCGACGGCGGCCTTGACGGCGAGGACGTCCATGCCGTTGACCTTGAGACCGGGGATGTACTGGCCACGCTTGTAGTAGTCGGTCAAGGCCGACGAGCGGGCGGCAGAGGTACCCATACCATACTTGTTGTCTGCACGATCACACATGTCAGTAAGAGTATCTTAGACCATGAAACCCGGGCTACTTACTCTCGCAGCCGAAAAGGGCAGGGAGGTTCCAAAGCTTGGCCATGTTGAAAGACTCAAAGACCTGACCCTGGTTGCTGGCACCATCACCTATAATAATGTATTAGCCTTCCGAACTCCCTTCGTTGTTCCCACCAAGAAAAGGCTTACCGTAGAGGATGATGGAAGCGTTCTTGCGGCCAGTGTACTTGTGGGCGAAAGCAAGACCAGCACCGACGGCGACCTGAGCACCGACGATACCGTTACCGCCGTAGAAGCCCTTGGTGAACATGTGCATGGAACCACCCTTGCCGTAGGCAATACCCCCACGGCGACCGAGAAGCTCGCCAATGATGGAGCGAACGGTACCGCCGCGCATGTAGGCGAAGCCGTGGCAACGGTACGAGGTGATGACGTCGTCAGCTCTCTCGATCGCGTGCTCGATACCGACGGCGACAGCCTCCTGACCAACGGACAAATGGCAGAAACCACGAATCTTCTTCTCCTTGTACAGTCTGTCGGCGGCCATCTCCATTTGTCTATATGCAGAGCAATGTGTTAGCTATATGCTATGTTGTGAAGCCATGTTGATCCTCCAGGCCGAGATCGGCAGAGATAGGAGGGGGGGAAGCTCAGAGCCCCGGTGGTGACAAGGTAGGATTGTAGTCTTTGCATACCTGACGACGACCATGTCGTAGTACATTTGCTTCAGCTCCTTCTTGGTGACATTGAGGGTGTAGGGAGGGGGGTCGAGCTCGTAGGTCTCGAAGCTCTCGTCGCTGAGGGTGACCTGGAAGGGCTCGGTCTCCGACTAGATTGAAGCAAAATTGCATGGTAAGCTTATCGATGTTCCCATTTTCGGAGCAGGAGTAGTCATAGAAGCGACAAGTAACAGTCTTTGGATTGCGCGCAAAAATCTGCACAACCCAGCCCCCAACGACAACAACGACGGCGACGACATGATATGTTTCGAAACCACCAAAACAAACGGTGTTCATCTGGTGTTTTCTATTGACTTGACGTCAAGAGAATGAAGGCGGGTCCGGCGGGTCCGGCAGCAAGCGGTAAGGTAGACAGACTCGCATGGGACATGACTTGCTTGACTCGCGAGCGTTGCTTGGGGGACTCGGGGAGGGGACATGACTAGGGAGTCTCTCCTTCCCTCCAGTCTTTTGTTTCTCCAACACACACAAAACCACCATCGAAACCCACTTCGAACGACATGCGACATCAACAGTAAACAAACGTACCTCTGGGAGGGGCTTCTCGAGCTGGGCCGAAGCAGCATTGGTGGTGACGGACCTCCTAGCGGCGATCGAGGGAATAACGACACGGGGAGCAGCAACGCGGGCGCGGACGGGCGCCGCTACCCTCGTCGATAACCGGGCTGCGCGAGAAAACATTCTGAATTATCTGTCTCTCTCTTCTCGCTGGGAAATACGATGGCAGCTGAGAGATTGAAAGAGTTGGGGGGGGGGGTGAATGACGACGGGAGTGGAAGCGGAGAGAGGACGAGAATGAAGGACGAGTCGACGAGCAAAAGCAAACTGGCAAACTGAAAATCCTTGGGACGGGACTGGAGTGTGGAAGGGTCGCGAATTGATGGGCTCCGATGGGGTAGGCGAGCCAGGGCGCCCGGTACGGCAGGACTGGTGCGGGCAGCCAGGGCAGGTGTGCAGCACCTAGCAGGCGCAGCACGTCAGGGAACGAACTCTTCAATTGGAGATACGCCGGCGCTCACAGACAGGGCACCAGCACGGATAGGGTATCGTCGGATATGTGTGTTACGCTGTGGCCCGGGGGATTTTTTTTTCTGGCATGGAGATCCCCCAGCTGTACTGTCACTGCTTACCTACCTACCTTACAGGAGCTCTCTGTCCACTGCTACCAGAAAAGCTTGACAACCTAAGGCGGGCGGGCAGGTACTAACGCGATAGAAAACTCCCACAAACGGTACCTGTACGAGTATGCCGGCCGTTCTCCGGAGCTCGTTTTGACGCTGTCAGGGCTGTCAGAAAAAATTATTATGGATCTCCCCGTCGCGGTCCATGAGCTTTGGAGGAGAATGGAGGGGAAGGGGCAAGGGACGTCCAAAAAAAAGTCCACAGTCAGAGGGGCGAGGCGAACGAGTGTTGAGCAGAGGCAGAAGCTTGGGTAGCACGCGCTAACTGAGTTTGGCATTGCATGGATCAGGTGGGGGAAGGAAAGTTTGTTGGAGATCTTCGAGCTTACCTCCATGACAAATTATATATAAGACCTCGTTTGCCGCCCACGAGTACAGCCAAGGGTCTCAATGATTTCGTCACGGACGAGGTGAACTGAATGAAAAGACTCTTGTTTGTTTTCGTCCTTCTCCTTGTTCGCTTCCAACGACACCACCACCACCGTCACCACTATGACCAGTTACCACAACGGGCGGCACTCAGTACTATGCCGCCATCCCGGCCTATCGACTCCATTACGAACCCCATCAAAAATGGAGTTTGACATTCCGGAATGCCCCACCCAACAGCCGCCGCTTTCCACTTGCCTCACGAACTCTACCTAACCTCGATCGGGAATAATTGCTTATCAGTTTTCTTACCACTACAGTTTAGACGACAGGCGTGGCATGCAGGTAACCGTAATCAATATCTGACCGGGCATGGCTTCGAAGGATTCTACGTATACATAGGGCACTTTTGGTCCGGTTCGACGATATCTTCATTATGAACATTATCAACAAAAACAACTTTTCAACCATCCCGATGGCAGACAATATAACCACAAAAGCATAAAACCCAGCATAAGACAAACCATCGTGCATATCAATCATTAATCTATCGCTACAAGTCTCTCTTCGCCCCGGGCATGTAGGCATAGACAAGTGGGTTTGGTATCCTATCTTGGGATAAAACAAAACATGCGATATGCATACGTTGAGGGAGTGAACAAATGCAAAACAGGTATAAGATATAAGGCATTGTTGACCCATGGCATGTATATGTCTTTCATAGTGCCGGTTGCGGTAGTGTAGTACAGTGTCTCGCAATATAGTAGTGTAGAGTTCCTGAACAAAGTGTATTTGTACCGTGACCACATCCAATGCCGAGTTGCTCATCCGCTTCTTCATGGGCTTTCTCCTCTGTCCCGTCTGTCTGTCCGTCTGTCTGTCCAGCTGCGTGCGTTTCTGATATAGATATAAAGCACAAGAGAGAAGACGCAAAAAATAAAAGAAAACAATATGAATGCTGGTCCGTTGTCTGCCTGTCCGAATGCGTGTGGGTGTGCTTTGAAAACCTTCATGTGTGTGTGGGTGTGTGTGGGTGTGTGTGTGTGTGTGTCAACGCCATAGCAATGCTTCCTGCAAAGTTTCCGCGCTTAGTGATCATGGGTATTGCCGTCACGTCTGCAACCTCAGCCAGCTGTACTGGCGCCACGCGCTATCTGAAATTGCTAGGTGCGCTCTCCGCTGGTCTTTGATTCATCCGACTTTCGCCAACCAATGCGCTGAAATGTATCGTGGGGTATATTAAAGGAAGGCGATGTGTTGTGGTATGAGTGAAAATTTCCTGGTGGTCGAGTATTGTCTTAAGTTGGGAATTTCCGATGTGGCTTCTTCCCATCGAGAAAGTCGTTGGGAAACACGTTACGGATGTCTTGTTAAGAGAGGGCTCTTGTAGAGGTAATGTCCGTCAACCATAATTGCCGATAGTCTCCTGTAGCCTGAGGTTGGTGGAGCCCCCTCCTCTGTAAGTCTAGGCTCCCCTCGATGCTTGAAAGAATGATGCATTTGGTCGAAGAGGAGCTGTGGCAGGGCCGGCATCGGGCATATCCACGTCCTGCATTCCATTTCCTAAGAGACTATCGTCCATCGCACTTGACGGCCTTTCGGGAACGGGGGCCTCAATGGTCGGTCGTGGCGTAAGCATAAATGGTTGTCGCTCGTGTCGGTCGAGGAGAACATCTTCGGGTGGAGAGAAGGACCAAACCTGATAGAAATCATCATCGGTTAGCAGCCAAACAGCAGATCGCGCCGAGATACCGGAAATTCTCACCTCCATAACCGTCCTGCTGTTCCTCAGTGCCATCGCAACGCACTTCTCGGCCTCAAAGGCAACGCGCCAAACAGCCTCTCCCTGAGATATAAGCTCGCGAACAAGCTGGCCAGTCTTGAGATCCCAGACCTTAACCCGTCCATCACTGCCACCACTGACAATCCGCGTGTCGTCAAACTGCAAGCTTGTAACACTGTTATCGTGAGCCGCAAGGCGATGGATAGGGCAGAACCTTTCCAGCGACCAGACTCTGACTGAGCCGTCACTACCACCGGTGACGAGGGTGCCACCACGCATTTGCAGTTGTCCGACCAAAGACGTGTGACCTTGTAGAACCGCTTGGCACTCACTAGACTCGATGTCAGCACAAGAGCATATGGATTGGTAGCAAAAGGGCCAGTCTGTATGCGGTTTGAAAACTTACCCAGTAGCGGCGTTCCAGATCCTCACGCTGGTATCCAAACTTCCGGTTGCCACACGGTAGCCATCAAAGGCGATTGCGTAAATTTGGCTGTAGTGACCTTGAAGTGTATGTAGGCAGCGGCCCTCCGAGATACTCCAAACCTTGGCGGTTGTGTCGTAACTCCCCGAGACAACAATGTCGCCATGGATTTCCAAACACCTTACACTAGCCTGGTGACCGACAAGCACGTTTCGGCACACTCCGTTCTTGATATCCCAGACTCGGAGGGTCGTATCCCTAGATCCGGAAATAGCAGTGTTTGCATCCGACATCTTGAGACATCTGACGGTGGAGGTATGTCCACGGAGTGTGTGCATACAGACACTGGGCACATGTGTCAGCAGGGGGGTCCTGATACTGGTTGGGGAAAAGAAAAAGGAAGGAAAAAAAATGGGTGTAACATACCCCGTCGTCAGGTCCCACACACGAACATCTCTATCACAGCCACCACTGACCAAAACGTCGTCCCAAGGAACCATAGCCCAGACGCCCATCATGTGGCCCCTGAGTGTTCGTAGTTCGTTTCCTTCCGTGTCGAACACATGTATCTTGGTGTTGTCGAGAGCTACAATGATGTACTTCTTGGTAAGGTGGAGGCTAGTGACTACACCGCCTTCCTGAGTGATGTTTTTCGTAATGTTGCGTCCCCCTGTCCGCCAGGCGGCGTCCACAAGGTATCGTTGTTTGAAGTGCGACTTGTATGACCTGGGCCTCCTCAGGCTCGATGCGTCGTCAAAAGTGACTGAGGCCGCGGGAGCGCTATATGGCTGGTAAAAGCTGCTCGTAGGGTCTGGTCGTAGGAAGTTGGAATACTGCATAGAAGTCTGTACCTCAGATAGCCTACGCTGATAGTCGTGCTTCAGACAGAGGTTCTTCCATGTCATGTCATCGCTCACCAGGTCCCGCCACCTGCGAGACACTTGAGAAGCTCTTGCCAGGTCTTTGGGGTCGTCGATAAACGACAGAACCTATCTAGGGGGTTAACAACCTGGGCCATACACCCGAGATAATAACAACAGACGCAGCACTTACTCGTAAACACAACTCATCGGGCAGGCTCATCATGGGGTCCTTCTTCAAGCGCGGGCTGACAAGCTGGAGAATAAAGCTGAGCTGTTGGCTATTGCACATGTTCACAATGTCTTCGAGTATTCGCTTTTTCTCCGAGGTGGTTGCCTTGAGGAAATTCTCCCGCATTATGGACAAAACTATGCTTTCATCCTCTTCCGCGTTATTCCAGTCCGGCTGAGTCTGTGATGGACCAGGAGATGCTGCTGGGGTCGGCGGTGGTGGCGGTGAACCTGCTGAGAGTTGTTGGTTGAAGTCGGCAGAAGGGTTCATGCCTAATGGTGTTAATGGTGGTTGTGGGCGATGTTGTTGCGCCAGTTTGGCGCTATGTGTGTTGAGCGACAACTCTTCCCCGAGGACACTGCCTCTCCTTTCAGAGATACTCTGATGCTTTCCGTACGGCGACATGATGGCGATGATTGGGTGTCCCAAAAGCTATGTGTCGAAGTGACCGATGATTCCTTGCGCTATCGAGGCGCAAGTCGTGATGCCCAGCCAACGAATGCACTGGCGCTTACAAGCGGTACCGTGTGGTAGCCAGGATTTTCGAGAGTCGAACTCCCCGACTATTTGGCTGTTGATGGTCCAGATTCGGCGGCAGTTGCAAAGGTTGATGAGGTCGATGGTTTACCGAGGGTAACGAAAGATGGATACACTAGGCGGCGATGTGGTTTGTGTGAATCACGAATCGGTTTGCCGCAGCCCCCCTTTTTTTGACTCGTCGACACACGGAACAGGCAGTGCGTCGGTGTGCCTAACGGGTGTCCGTAAGACCAAGGCAAACAGAAATCGAGATCAGATACCGATCGTTATATGGAGTCGCGTGGGTTGCGCTCGCGGGAGGTCGGACGAAAGAAAAGCGGGTGTTTGATAGTGGAGAGTGGGCTGGCCGCTAAGGTGTCTGTGACCGGGACGACGACGACAGGAGACGGTCGGATGAGATGATGGCTTGGGTCGCTTTAGTTGGGTAGATTGGCGGGAGAAAGGGGGGGGGTCGCCTGGACCACTTCTAGGTATCTCGAGGGAACCGGGTTGTCGTTGACCGTTTGACAGAGGAATGAACTGGGAGTGATGTGGTGTACAAGTAACTTTGGTGGCTTCACAAGGGAGAAGCAATGATGGATTTGGTCGAGGAGGACGATGTGTGTTCAAGGGGCCGCGCCTTGGGATTACTTCAGGTTGGTGTGGCCTGCATAAGGGGAAGCAGCGTGGATGGTGGATGTCCGGTGCAGTGCAAGGTGGATGGCGGAACAGCGCAGGTCCAGCCAGTGGACTGCCCTGGCCGCGGCGGGTCGGGCGCTGGCTCCCAAGTGGAGCGCCTACGGTACATTGAGGGAGTGCTTCCTTGCTTGGAAAGTGCCTGGTTTCCCCATCGGCTTTAGTTTTCAGGGCCCGTCGCGCCATGTTCCTGCACCGTGCAAAGTCGGCCGGCCGGGCGTGTTTGAGAAAAGCAGGGGAGGCACTTCTCTCCGATTGTTCCATCGTCGAGAAGGCCTTTCCCTTATATGTCTTGAATTAACAGGTCGCAGTGATCGAGTAGTCCTCGACCTGAGGACAACTGGCAACCAAGGGACTGGCGGGAGTCATCATTGTCAGGTGAAAACTGAAGCCTGAAAGAGCCACGACGGAGCCGGACGGTGCGTGCGGCAACCTTTTGGTCAGACGGTAAGTAGCGGTACATACCTAAGTAACGGTACCCTTCTCCCTTTCCTCGTACACTACATTAGTACAGGAACGCCCGTGCAATTCATCTCCGGAAAGAAGGGTCCCAAGTTCGAGTCCAGACGTCGAAGAACATGCAATAATTTGAATACGACAAGAGTCCGTATCATACACTACATAGTGTAGTCCTCTCTCCCCACATGTCAGATGGCCGATGGAGATGCATAGCCAAGAAAGAGCCACTTTCAGGTGACCAAAGCTAATGCTGGAGAACACCGCCCGTTGGAGCTGTCTGCCATTACACGTGTAGACTTTTAAAGGTGATCATCTCTCTCAAACCAGCGGTAACATATGCGAACCCATCCGCCAGCAGCTGCCGGCAATCCCGAGAAAAAATACGGAGAAGACGGAGACGGCGGATGTTGTCCCAGTGGCACCACCACGGACCTGCATCTCTCTCTCGACTCGGGATTCTAGTCTAGTGTGTAAAGGCAATCAATCGATCATGCATTCCACTTCCCCATTCCCCATCCATTCTCCATATACCCTACACTACTCTACCCTACCGAAACTGTCTATCTATCCACCGTCCAGTCCAGTTGGCGACATCCTGCTGCGCCCTGTTCGCCTACACTACACCTATGGCGACATCCATCCATCCAAGCTCCCCAAGATTTACATACCTAGATCCGCGGAGAATAAGGCGATTCCCATATCGACCCATTTGATCAAAAAAAAAAAATGATCCCATGATGTTTCGCCCATCAAACCCCATCAGAGATGACCCCCCATCTCCCCCATAACCGTACATATCTACATACATAACTCCCAATATGTAGTGTATATGCAGCCTCGCAGTATGTGTTGTCCTGCGTGCGGGCTTTTCGAGGCCTTCTCAGGGGGGTCTAGAAGACTTTCATGCAGTCGTCAGTCGCCAGTCGCCAGTCGGCATTGGTGGGGTGTGTATGTAGGTACTTTCGACATAGTATCTTAACCCCTTATTAATCACTGTGGGATGGAATCTCCTCTCTTACACAGATTCTCCAGATTGTAGTTTGCAGCGGGGATCTGTCACCAGCAGTCAACCGCTCTATTAAGATTGCAGACTGTTCTACCGACAGATTGTATGTACATAGACAGACGGGAAGGCACACAACTCAAACATATGTATGTAAAGTAGTATGTAAAGTAAGTACATAAGGTAGGTAAGGTACCGCTAGACCGGCCGTACGAGGTGTATCAGATTTCGAAACTCCTCCTCCGCAGTGCGATGCCGCTAGTAAAACCTGCGGGGCGGGAGGGGGGCTATGTAACTACCTATTTGATTGATGGCCCGGGCGGCGGTTCGGGCGGTTCGCCGGTTCGCCGGTTCGTCAAAAACTAAACCACACCCGATTTCCCCGAACCCGAGAAAAACAAAAAGAGTGGCACCCGGCGGCCGAAGACCTCCGATGGGATGGGTTGGCGGTTACATATGTCATGGACTGTACCTACACTACTAATGTAGATAACACTACACTAAGGAGAATTGTAGATCTTCAAAAGCAGCAGCCGGACCTTGAACCTTGCCAAGGTATCAATCATATAGAGTTACTACACTAAACAAAAAGCGTCTTGGCCAACTCAGGCACCAACCACCACCCGCCAACCTTCTTCACACTTATGAGACATTGAGTTGGACGAAAACACATCCAACATAGGTAATTACTTATCTCTCCGTGTCTCTCTCTCTATCTATGCCATCGCCAAGTTGTCAACGACAGGATTGGACCGCCCTACGGGCCTTACCGCCCTGCGTGCGCCGCGAGCTAGCTAGTTAGCTAGCGGGATGATGCACAAGAAACGGCACAAGATGCCAAGCCAAAGTTGTCCGTAATCAGCAGCTTTCTTCACCGCCCTACCTGTCTGTTCTATGTATGTCCATATACACTACACTACAGAGATGGCTGTGAGGTGTGTGCTTCAATGTCTCACTGTCCATGACTCACACATGTGAAACCGTTTGCGCGGTTACTCGGCTGTTAGATGGAGGTTCGGACCGGGCTGCCCTTACGTTATGTGAACACAGATGATATCACCGGCGGAGTGGGATATCCATGTATGCACATGTGGTGTAAGACATTATCCAAGGCTTCAGTCTTTTAATGCTCTAGCACTCCGGAATCCTTAAGATTTAAACTTGTCAGTATCAACGGCCAGTCACCAATTTAATGTGATATAATAAAATCAATGGTATACCGTAGCACGAGCATATTGTAGCAAAGTGAAGTGCCCTGTACACATGAAGCTAACCTAACCTGCAAAGCAAGGTACCCGCTTCTGAACGGTTAACCTGAACCTAACCAGAGAAAACCAAAAGGCCCCCTTTCTAGCTACATAAACAAAGTAGCAAACAAACGGATAGGGGTTTTGGTTGACGGTAGAGAAACAAAGAACAGCAGAGACATGAGAGGGGGGGAAAAAAGCGTAATAATCCATCCAGTCCAGTCTACTTTTACACTCCAGCCGATTCTGTCTCAAAGTTTTCCATCCACGGGCACATGCTAACATGGTACATAATCGCTTTGTCTTCGCCTTCTCTTTTTTCCATGCTTCATAACAAGTATCATCTCTCGCACACAAAACATTCTTCTCTCTCTCTCATTCTCTCTCACAAATGCCCCGTACGAAAGGCAGGACACACTCCCCACAAGCAAATCTTCCTGAAGTCAGTCAGCCCTAGCCCTTACTTCAACCAGATGTAAGGCAACCTCTCATCCTCCGCTGCCGCCTTGTTGCGCTTCTGGCTCGTACTATTGCTAGTAGGCGTCTTCTGGCTACTACTCTTTCCACTATTGTTGCTCTTGCTCTTCTGGCTACCACCGCTCTTCTGGCTGCTATGGCTCTTCTGGCTGTTATTGGTGCTACCAGTACCGCTACCGCTCGTACCCTGGCTTTCCGAGCCATTTCCAGCAACAGCAGCAACGTTGGCGGAGACCGCGCTAGGGGCTGAAGCTGAAACAACAGTGGGAGCAGGAGTAGGGACACCTCGAGCAGCAGCAACAGCAGCTGGGCCAGGAGCAGCAACTGAACCGGCAACGACACCGGTGGAGGAAGCGGTAGCGTCGACGGGGACAGCGGCAACAGCAGCTTGAGTCTGAGTCACGGCCCGAGACTGAGCAGAAGTCGACGACGAACTCTTGGCGGCCTCGGCCTCCCTCTTCTCAAGCTCCTTCCTTTCATACTCCCTCTGCTCTCTGCCCTGAGCATCAATCAAGATGCCCTGCACGAGCTCAATGTCGGTAACTGTATCGTCAAAGACGTCGGCGAGCGTGGAGAGGACACGCATACGATTCCACTCGTGGCGGTACTGCCAGATGGCATCCATCAGCTCTCTATGGATCTGCTCCATCTGCTCAATGTTGCAGCCGGCCGTGCGGTCCACGAGCGTGGACCAGAACTCGCAGACCTTACCGTCGTTAAGGATAGGCTGCTGCTGAGATGAGACCGAAGTGTCGCGACGGCCGAAGGGCAGATGGGCATTGTTCCGGCCAAGGGCCGGGCTGTTGTTGCTGTACGGAGAGCTATCCGTCTTCTTACCGCCGGTGCTGCCAGGGCGGACGGGCCCTTGAAGAACCCTCTCCATACAGTCCGCAATCGCAAGGTCCCTAAGACGTCTGGCCTCTAACAGACTCCGCTGGCTATCAGGAGTGTCATTGCTGGGTTTGCTATTTTGACTGTCCTCATTACTGGGTTTGCTGTTTTGACTGTCATCATTACTGCTACCCTGCTGCGGCTGGTCCTTAGAGGATGACGAACGGAGACCACCGGCGGGAGATTCGTTAGTACCGTGGGTCTCAGCCTCCTCAGGCACGGCCGGCAGCAGGATGCCTTGCGCAATGCCAGCCATCTGTGAATGAGGCCACGGGCCGCTACTAGAAGAATTACTCTGGCTTTGGCTCTGACTGTTGGTTTCCACAAGGAACGCCGCAGCAGTAGGGTTAGCAGTCGTCTCCTGGCTCTCAAGCAACTGGGATGTTCCCCGAGAGATGCTCTGCATGCCATTCGTCTGTTGCGTGTTCCACTCTCCACGGCCTGAGCTTGGGTCAGAAGTCCTGGTGTTCGAAGCATCATTCTGGATAGCGGCCGGGGAGACTCCTGGAGGCACAGTTGTAAGTGCTGATGTCTGCGAGAATGTGCCGATGGTTTCTCTATTTGTCTCTGTGATGACGCTGTGCTGTTGAAGCTGTCGTTGCGCTTGCCGATATCTAAGCGGCGAGCTGATTTCAACTCCCTGAGAGAAGAGCAGAGTGCTTTCTTCTTCCACCGTCTGGCCGGTCTCGCCTGGGTTGGAAGGGTGCGATGTGCCATTGGTAAGCGGGTGCATCCCAGAAGAGTTCGGGTTTTCGGTCAACTTGGGGCTCGTGATGACCTGAAATCTGGCCGCTGTCGTGTGGGCGGGCTTGTTCATGGGAAAACCAATACCAACAGGGCCTTGAGACTCACTATCGTCTTGGGTCTCGGCAAGGTCAGACTGGATCTTGTCGACCATCGGCTGGAAAGCCGCCTTCTTGCGGTGACGCTCTTCGGCCTTCCTCGTTCTTTCGAGCTGCCTTTGGTAAATGTCCTCAAAATTGATGCCTTGTGTTTTGAAAGAAAGGTTGATATCGTAGACATCAATTTCAACGTTCGTAACCATCTCGCTCGCCTTCGGGAGATAGTCCTTATCGCCGATAGTCTTGACATCGAGGAATAAACGCTTAATATCTTCGTAAAAGTCCATCGGGCGGGCATAATAGCCATTGGCCAAGCGCTCCTCAATTGTAGTAGAGTCGAGGTTGTAGTAAAACTTGCCAGTCTTGGTTTCAAGGATGCCGTCAACACCCTTATCGTCCTTGGAAATGACAAAAGGCCGCTGCTCCTGTTCACCCACATCCGGACGGACAAAGTTGGGATCAGACTCCTGGAAGAGATAGCTGATCGTGTTGAGAGGAATGACAGGTTGTCTGAACTTGCGATACCTGCGCTGAATCTGATCCATAATCGGTTGCAGTCTTGCCTTCAGTAAGTTCAAGTGGTGGAAATCAATCTGGCGCTGAGCTTTGATCTCCTCCTTGGTAGGAACCCTGGGTGGCGGCGGCGGAGCAACCGGCAAGATTTCAAGCACCCGCTTCTTGCGGCTGGAGGGATCCGGAAATTCCTCGGGAGCCTTCCACA